ATTTTTATGCCTGTGATTAATCCCCCCCCCCTTCTTCTTTCTTAATCCGCTCACACATTTGTTTTCCGTCCCGCCCACTTCGCTTTATCTTCTCTACACTCTCCTCCCCTACGCCCTCCCTCCCCCCTCGTCCTTTTCCTCTTTGCCACAGCACTCAGAGGCTTAGGAGTGGGATGTACCACATGAGCCACTCCCTTCTGTCAGCCACCCCTTCCCACAGTGTGGAATGGCACAATCCTGCTTTGCATAAGTTTCCTCTGAGTGGGTTGTGTGTGGAGGCCAGTGCTGAGAGAAATATCAGACCCTTTTGAGCGGCTTGGATGTATGTCCAGAGAGAAAGCTAGAGTGCTGCTGTAGTTCATCTGTGTCACTTCAACTGTTCGAGCTAAGATGTATTGTGCCTACCCGGTCCCAGGAATGGGAAATAACTCTTTAATGTATTACTACAACGGGAAATCGGTAAGTAGACTCTTTGGGAATGTGTGTGTGTTGACAGAGATGAGCTGGAAGAAGTGTGTGTGTCTCAGTTTTCATCTGACTGTCCTTGTGTCTGACATAAAAGCTGTGTATGTGTTTGTGTGTGTGAAAATGCATACGCCTGAGGCTCCTCTGTCTGATTTTCCATTACATCAGATGAAGTTGTATGAATTTAATATTTCAAATGTCTAACAGTGTTGCTGCACTCTTTCTAAGCTACTTCAAACCCAGTTGTGGGTTATTATTTATTCTAAAAAGTTAATATTCCAGGCAATACATACAAAGAAAGTTTTGCCATTTAAAAAACGTTGTCTCATACACAGAAATGAAACATCTTGGCAGAAAAGGTTTTTTGCAGCCTTGAATTTATTTTGACTGGCTGGTGGCTTCAGCACCCAGACTGGGTTGAAATAATAACAAGTGGGAGTCTGGGAATGATTAAGAGAAAGAGTGCCTGTTGAGGTTAGACTTTCCTGTTTGCAGATTGAGCACTAAGCACCAGTGTTGCTGTTATTCCATCTGTTTTGAATCACATTGGCATTCTGGACGTCGCCACAGGGAGCCTAATGTGATTTATGAACTTCTCTTTAATGACCTCTTTGATTTTTGTTAGTCTGAAAACGTTTTTTGTGTGAGCAATTTATGAATCACTGTGTGTGTGAGTGTCTGTGCTGCACTTGCTCTCCATGAAACTTGTTATAAACTTGATTATGGATTTAAAGATGGATGGTTTGTGTGCTGCAGGAAGTTTTAAGATGTTGTTTATGGGTAATGTACTGTCATTGTAAAATAAATCCAATGGCTGGATGAGCTCTGTAGTGCATTTCAATAATCCTTAAGTGATAAACCTGTCATAGGCAAATTACACAGGCAGTTTACACCTGTCATGACCTGTGCTATGTGTGATGCTACATAAAGAGCCCACAAAGGAAAAATAAAGAGGATAGAATCTTAATGATATTGAATGGAAAAGGTCCTCTTACTCATGCGTGTGTTTCAAATGTTCCCTTATAACCTGTTGCAGCATTTCCTCTTTGTTCCCGCTGCACAAAAGATGACTTTGATCTCTCTCATATTAAGTATTAACAGGCTTGTGTTATAGTTGGTGATGCGGAGAAAATTGATAGCATGTGGACAGAGCGGGAAACTCTTTGATCAAAAGCACTGTTTTCCCTGCAAGGAAAAAAGAAAGGTGGTGCTGGTTTTTTGCATCAACTTGATTCACATTAATTTGTTATAATGCAGAATTGCAGGCTCACCATCTGGAGCTCTGAACTCGCAGTGGGCCGCTGGCTTGTGAGCTGGTGGCACAGAACCAATACAGATGGAGCAGCTCGCTGATCTTTTTTCCATTGCCCATTAGTGGAAGAGAAAAAGTAGAAATGAAAGCCCTGCAGTGATTGTTAGAGTATGTTCCCCCTAAACAGAAAGCTTCCCCTCCACAAATGGGATGTCATAAAATGTAATCCGAGAAATAGTTACAAATTCAAAAGAGATGACATGTTGTTGTTTAGTAGTGCAACAGGTTGTACCGTGTTTTTTGGAGGTTAGCCCTCTTCACATGCACTGAAGCATGCATGATTGTAGGAGTTGTGTTGTGGTGTGTGTGTGTGTGTGTTGGCCTATCTCACTCAATAATGTATGTACATGTCACATACAGTATGTGATGAGTAGTCTATGAGGTTGCATTCATGCTTAACCAATTTCTGTGGTCTTAACGACGGCCAGGGGTTGCTCCATATTTAGAGAACCTGACTCCCAGCAGGCTGCTCTTCTGTCAGAATTTGAATATTGTAATGCTTTGCTAGAGAAGAAGAAAACCACACTGATGGGTCTTTTAATCCTTTAATCTTCTTTCTATTATACGAAAAGAAAGTTGTGCATCCAAATGCATATGTATGTGCTTGATGAGTCAGATATTAAGTATATATCTTAATATATTTTGTATAGGTAATAAATAATTCTAGTCTATTTTGTCCTGTTTATACTTGTGAGATGTTTTCCACCTGTGGTTGAATGTTTAGTTGTTGTTTATATTAAACTCTAAAGTCCCATTGTGTTTATAGTAACATGTAACAGCATGTATTTATATTCCAGTTCCATGTATTTAACAGATGTATACAATTAAGAAATAATTTGCCATTTCAAGAGCTCTTTATGATAACAAAAAGTATTGCCTTTTTCTTACTTATACAATTTTAAGACAATAAGATTTTTTAAATGTTCTTTCAAACTCAACCAGAAAGGTGTTTGACGTTCCCTTCGAGCTCAGACGAGCATTGGCAACGTCAGCATCTTGCTTAACATATTCCTGATGTTTAACTCGATTCATCCATCAACACCTTGGAGCTGCGGTATATTATGTCTACACCTTCTTTCAAGCGAGTTAGTCTTTTATGTCACAGTTTTATGCATGAAAATGCTGATCCCATGCTTTTCCAGAAAGCATTGGCAAGTATCACGCACAGTGTTGGACGACGCCCTCCAAGCAGGCTGAGCGGAGCAGTTGTTTGAGGAGGCTTTGTGTCTGTCGTGCATACTAAGCCTTGTGAGTGTGCTAGATTGGGACTTGAAACAAAATGCCCGAGAGATATGGTTCAGCTCCAAATGAGGACTTACAGAACAAAAACAGGACACACCATTAAGGGAGTGTTTGAACTATTCTGTTTGAGCCATTAGCCTGTTTTTGTATTTCCTTTCCTCTTATTACCTCAAATCCTCAGTGTAAGGTGACAGCTTGTGTTTTAACACTTGATATGTTGACTAGTGTGGCATGAACTTCAAGGACATGTCAGTTGGGTCACGTGTAAAGACCAAGCTAAAAACTGAACCAATCACTCAATTTGTGTCTTTAAATTGTTATTTGGTGTCAAACATTTTTACCAACAAGTGAAACTACGATCAGTGCCTAAAATCATAATTCTTTATGTTAATCATAACCTTATCAGGAGTAAAATAATAACCTCATTGTTTGCCTTACCATTTTTATAGTTACTTTTAAACATGGGTCAGGTCATTGCTGAAGGGGAAAGATATATATGTAGTTTATTATTCTGCAATATCTTATTTTGTATTAAAAGTATACTTTTAATGCTCAGTTGATATGCGACTGCTGAAAGAAAGGGTACAGTAGGGAATGTAGTCGTTAATAAAAAAAAATAGCCGCCAACACTCAAACAACTGGTGTATGCCTGTGTTGGTGTGCTGATCGTCGTGAGTGACGGCTTTTAATTAATGGCCTTGTAAAAGGAAACCCAGGTGGGCCCTCTCTTCCGTAGGCCGGCGGAATGAGGCTCCCAGTGTTTGGGGATGGTTTATTAATGCCTTCGACTGGTTAGCCCAGGGTAAAAAGGACAATTAGCATTATCCGCTGCCATATGCTGCCCATTGAGACAAAAGCCCGGGCTCCTGAGCGAGGCTAACCTGAGATCTCCACGGAACTACGGTCCACCCCGGGCCCATGTGTAAACCAGAGGACCCATGAGGGCTCCCCCCCTCCCACAGCACTTTAATTACACACCCAGACAACAGCATGCCGCTCACTCAGCAAACCCCAGCAGCGCTCTTCACTCTGTATTGATATACAGTACGTTCACATGTGGGCTGTGTGTGCGAGCGAGTTATTTAATTAATACACTTTGGTTGGTGTGGCATATTTTCCATCAGCGCTGGCTGTGTCATAAAAAAACTTGAGCGAGTAAACAACCTTTGTGGTTGCATCACATCCGCAGGCATTATAAACCAACCTTTAAGCAGGGAGCTGTCACGATGCCAACATCTGAGTGCGGCGTGAGGCTATTAAAATAGGATTGCTGAGTTTGTGCTGCGAACTTGCAGGTGGAATTGAGTTAGCAGGCCTGACTCTGATTAGTGTTACACCGCGGTGGGGTCATCCAGTCCTGTCTGTAGGAGGGATCATTTGTTCAGACCTTCTCCCTCGCCCTCTCTCCCTCCATCTGGAGTGGATGAAGTCAGAGACCACATCACTGGTGTTTGGCCTTCGGTCTCTTTGATCCTCCCACCTAGCTTGGCACACTCATAGCTGTACAACAGAACACCCATTGTGCCTCTCCTTTCACTGCACCACCACCAGCAGGTACATAAACAGAACGCGAAGGCTGTCTTGTTTTTGTACCACTTATTTGATTTCTGTCTCTGAATATGCGGTTATTTGCCAGGCATTTGGGCTATGCATGTATGCAGGTATCATTATACTTCCATTAGAGGTTGAGTTGATCTGAAATGCAAATACCCCTGGTAATACACTCCTCCCCTCGCTAGCTTGAGTGTTAGATATGATAGGGTCATATCTGCACTCCTTGTGTTTTTACTCATGCCGTGTTAGATCACATTCATTTAGTTACCCACAATCTTAATTGAGATACTTCACACAATATGAGATTTGAAAGCTGAACGTTTTTACAGCTTGAAGCATCACCATACTATGTTTTATAAACAGAATACTAGCACTGTGTGGTGTTAGGTAAACTATTTTACAAATATCATTTCTGTTCTCACGGCAGGTGTACGCACCATCTCCAAACTCAGAAGACTACAACAGAGAGTCCCCTTCTTACTCTTCTCCGAAACCCTCCAGCAGTATGTTTGCAAGCACTTTCTATGGTAAGTTCAACAGCAAGTCTTCATAACTACTCTGCAGTATATCACCAAATGATCTTTGTAGATTGATCTCTCTGATTCTTACAAACAGATGTTTTCAAATGATATTCTTCTATTCTGATTGTTTATTTTTATACCGAATACAACTGTTTTTAGTCTTAAGTTTTGAACTACTTTCTTCATTGGACTATAAACATAATCGGTTCATTCATCATCATTTCGTCACTTGTGGCAGTTATTACAGTGACATACAAAAGGCTAGAATAGCGTACCAAATGATTTCAATCGTGATATTTTGACATTTTGTAATATTAAGCCTGTGTGTTCAGTATTCATTGAAGTGGGACTCCCAGTAGAGCAGACTTCTGTGTTGTTGGTTTTTGTTTTTATCTCTGTGTTATCTCATCTGTGTTCAGGACAAGATCATGTTTCAGTTCAAAGAGAAAAAGGACCCCAAGTTTGAAGCGTAGGGTCGGAGGTTATCCTCTGTCTGGAACTGTGGCAAGACTGAAGTGCATGTTGTATATAATCATTTACTGAATTGCTTTATTATCTTTAGATGGTACCCACAGTTCGTCTGATCCTTGGAACTCGTCCAATGGGATCAGTCAGCCCAGCTACACGGGAATGCTCTCCGGATCTTCATCTCACATGCCACAGTCAGGAAACTACAACGGCATGCACGCACACGACCGTTTGGTAAGCAGCAGCTCCCAACTGGTAATACCTAATAATGATGATAATTTATGTAGCACCTTTAAACTCTGAGTTTACAGTCAAAACAGATACTGTATAACAACAGGAAGCCAAACTGTAGGGCCTAACAGAAGTGTCGTAAAATAAAGGTTGACGACTTTAGAGTAGGATGTGACGCAAAAACAAAGTAGATAAAAGGTAAATGATTATGAAAGATAAAACTGGACAACAGATAAAGACAAAAACACATTTAAATAAAATGGCCACAAATAAAAGCAATAAAAACACGCCGAAGAATACAAACAGATGATGGTTGGTTACTTATTTTGCCGTCATTAAAGATCTAATGTGTGTTGTGAGGCACGTAAAGCATGTAGATAATTTTTCCGCCCTGCTCCCACTCACAGTTAGAGTGGGTGTGTGTCTGGTTATTATCAGTGAAGACACTGCTGACCCTTCTTGTCAGTGTTTGATCTCGGCTGCCTGCCTCAGCTGGCAGATCTTCACAGGGAGTCTGCAGATGCTGCCTGCCCTCTCTTTATCTCCCTCCCTCCCCCCAGTAACTTTTACTTACTGCAGCCTGCGAGATGTCAAGGAGAATTCACAATACAAGAATAAATAAGCCTTTCTTTTTTGTACGTACACATTTGTGACTGAAAAGTGTTTCTTTTTTTTGTCTCCCAGAATTACCCCTCACACTCTCCTGACATCAATGCCAGTCTTCCTCCCATGTCCAGCTTCCATCGAAGCAACAACAGCACTTCGCCATTCGTCACCGCAGCGCACAGCTCGTCTGTCAACACAGGCGATGGGGTCATGGGTACGTTCCTAAGTTTACAGTTAATCTACCTGCTCAGAATGACTGATTCAATATCCCCCGATGTATTCATCGCTGAACATCCTTTCTGTTATAGTAGTGAGTCAGGCAGTTGGACAGCTGCTTTGAACACCGTGACGGCTCGTCATTTGTCTGAGGTTGTTGTAACAAAGCCTCCCTCTGTGTTGTCTTTAGCTGCTGCAAATCGGGGGAACACCACTGGAAGCTCAGAGACTGGAGATGCATTGGGCAAGGCTTTAGCTTCGGTGAGTTACAACCCAACGTTCAACTTGGACTTCGCTTTCATTCATAGCATCAAGCATGATTTGAGGTTCACATACGAAGACCTGTACCAACATAAAAACACTCAGCATTTAAGAATTTGCTGTGAATCATGCAGAAGTCGCTGCAAATCCCATCAAGTATGACCTCCTCTCAGGGTGTGAAGCTCCATATATTCCATGCACCCATACACTCAAATCATTTTTGATTTCTCTGCAAAATGAAATAATGGTCCATTTTGCCTCTAAGAAGGTGACCTTAGTAATCGTTCAGGGAATTACTGACTGCTGATTAAAAAAAGCCCAGAGGACATGTTTGTAGTTGTTTTTTGGCCTACAGTAAGCCTGGATAATTGTGGGCTTAAACTAAGAGCATTCAAGAAAGGGAATTGTACATTGAAAATACTCCTAAAGCCAGTGGATTACACTTCACTTTGCAAAACCAAGCCTGGATATCTCTAACATCCTTTAATGTATCATAGTCAGTGTTTAATTAGCTGCAGCTCACATAATGGAAGGAGATATACCGTAGCTTGCATCAGTTAGACTCACAGATCAGATGAAGGAGAGGTTTGGTTAAATTATCTATTATAACAGAGCCATTATATCATAGAAACATCATAAGAAATATGACATTAGATTCCAAGTATGGTAAGAGCTTCACTCAGCCTTATATTTTCCCATTAAATGAAAATATCATTTTGGAAGTAGTAAATAGGCAGAAGTGTTGAGGACAGACTGAGCAAGGAGTTTCTCTTTGAACTGAAATAACCGACAAAATCTTTAACTGTATTGAAATGTAAAAGATATCATTCATATACCAGATTTGGGCATTAGTTTGAAATGTCTTTTGATTTTGGACAATTTTTATTTGGCACACCCTAGCCCAAGCTGTATTTTCAGGAGGATTTTTTTTTGTCAAAAGACAAAATATGAGAGTTTAGGGATGGTAATAACAAATTAAGTCATTTATATTTGCAGACTCAATTGTATTAGCATGACAAAGCTGTAGTGAAATGGACACGGTTGGGCTGGGTGGGGGTGGGTGGAGCAGGGGCACAGGGGAGTTTATAACTGCTGTGGCTCAACTCCACGGGGCCGCCCTTTGTAGAGCTTTTGTTCTCCGCCCTTTTAAATTGGCCGTGCTTATTGGCCCCACGCCGCCTGCGGGAGCGTGACTGATGATGAGGCGGAGCTTTCATTTATTCGAGTAAAATGAGCCATGTTTCACTTTGAATGAAGCATTAGTAGTCAGCGAGTGAAAAGAATAGAAAGTCATATATTGTCGGGTCAGAAGTCACGGTTATAAACAGCTTGTTTTTGAGAAACTGAGAAATATTTGGATATATTTGGATATATTTGTGCGCTCAGAGAAGATGAAGAAGATTCAACTTATTGTCATTAGGTAGTACAGGTACTATGTAACGAAACGGTTTCTCTGCATTTGACCATCCTAGTGTTAGGAGCAGTCGGCTGCCATTATGTACGGCGCTCGGGGAGCCGTGTAGGGAACGGTGCCTTGCTCAGGGACACCTCGGTAGCACTTGGTCTTTCCGCGTCTTGAACTGGTGACCTTCCAGTTGCCAAGCCAAGTCCCTATGGACTTCGCCACCACCGCCCCATTTGTTGCTCAGAGTGTAGTGAAGCATCATTCCTCCCTTTAGACAACAGTCAATCCCTCCTCCTCCTCCTCCTCCTCCTCCTCTCCTCCTCTCCTCCTCCTCCTCCTCCTCCTCCCCTCCTCCCCCTCCTCCTCCTCCTCCTCCTCCTCCTCCTCCTCCTCCTCCTCCTCCTCCTCCTCCTCCTCCTCCTCCTCCTCACTTCAACAAAACCTCCATCCTGATGCTCCAAGTTGATTGAAAAACGAAAGCCCGGAGATCAAGATTGAATAAAGAGATTATTGAAGTCAAACGTTTTTCTGCAAGCTCAATTTGATCTTAACTTGGAGGAGAAATCTCTGTGGATCTGCTGGTTTTTTCTCTGCTAATTAGTCAGGATCCACCAGTAATACCCTGAGATCTCTGAGACGTGTCCCACTATGTCCTCTTATTGCTCTGGGAAAAGGAATCAGGAATGTGATTGTGCTTTAATCCAACATTTGTTTAAACAAATGAAATCCCTGTGGAAGTTCTGGAGACGTAATCTCCTTGTTCCCTGGTGATTGACATGTCATCCTAAAGCTCAGTGACCTCGGTGACTTATCAGACGACGCACCGACACAAAGTAGTAACAGAATACTCGGTGTAGAAATAAACTGAAGTAATCTTATATGTGGCAGAAAAACAAACATTTGCATGTGAGTTTATCAACATGTAAAAACCAACTACATGTAAATCAAACTAGTTGTTATGTGGTTCACCTTTACTGTTCAATACCTATCTGTTGCAGGCTGAAATGCATCAAAGAGATGTACTGTTCTCGGCTCAAAGGGGTTTCCAGTTTAGTTGTCTGCTTTTTTTCAAGTTGCTATAGATTACTATAGGAAGGGAAAATAACCTTTCCAACTTTTATAACAAACTATTATTATATGAGACATTACATTTAATAATACAAAAAAGCTCTCACTTTGTTTCTCTTTAAGTTTAACAGACTTTTTTTATGTAGCCGTGTGACCTTGATTTATTCTGTTACACTTTTCATTTTGTCAAGTATATTTTAAGGGTAGCATTTATTTTTATGACATTCACAATACTAATGTTTAAACCTTTTCAATAAATAGGCTCTGAACGTTGCCTTTAATAAACTGACTTTAGAAATAAGAAAATAAAAGTCAATTAGGGATATAAGAGGATTAGGGCCACATAAAAAAATGTTATGTGAGGATTTGAAAAAAAATATTATTATTTTTTGTTCTGAGAAAAAAGTCAGAATTCTGACTTTAATCTCAGAATTCTGACTTTTTTCTCAGAACAAAAAAACATTTTTTTTTTTGGGAGAAAAAAGTCAGAGATACCGGTAACTGTAGAACCAGCTTCACTGCGATTTACACATTGCAGATGGTTGTAAAATGACTTATTATGGTTTCCTCTTGGACCCCTCTGGCGCGCAGAAATTCACTCATGTCCTCCATTGTTGCCTACTGCAATGTGTAAATCGCAGTGAAGCTGGTTCTACAGTTACCGGTATTTCTGAGAAAAAAGTCAGAATTCTGAGATTAAAGTCAGAATTCTGACTTTTTTCTCAGAACAAAAAATAATAATATTTTTTTCAAATCCTCACAAAAAAAAGTTTTATGTGGCCCTAATCCTCTTCCGTAAATTCCCTCATCTAGCAACATTAAATAAAATATTTAAAGGTGATATTAGGAAATGATTTGTATCTTTATTTAGGTACTTATTCACAGTTCACTGACTTACAGTAGCGGAGACAGAACCGGTACACATGCGAAAGACATCAAAGTGGATATTGCTTAAGGCTCATATGGTAACGGCCGTGCTCTGAGTACAGACGACTGTTAACGGCTCACATGTATGCACTTAGCATTTTTATGACATCCCTGGTAATAAAATCTCCATAATTGATTATACGTTTTTGGCTTGAAGGTAGTAACATCTGTTAAAGATATCAAGACACAGCGAGCAGCGATATATTATACTGTTATTGTTCAGAGGTGGACAGAGTTTCTCAACGGTGCAAGATGCAGTCACAACATATTACAGATGTGTATTAGAGATCAAAATGAAGATCAATTTCGGAGATGGGCAAAGTCGAGGTTCCTGTGAAACATGTAAAAGATAATTGGATGAAGTCAACATTTGCTTGTTATTTAGTTTTTCATGCTGCTGATGCTCATTTCCCTCTTCCTCTCTTCCTCTCTTCCTCTCTTCCTCTCTTCCTCTCTTCCTCTCTTCCTCTCTGCTCCCACAGATTTACTCACCTGACCATACTAGCAGTAGTTTTCCCTCCAACCCGTCGACACCTGTGGGTTCTCCTTCACCTCTGAGCGCCCCAGCAGGTGCTGCCTCAGCAGGGACCGCTGCTGGCCCCCCGTCTGGAAGGCCAGGTAGAGCACCAATGTTGGATTTGATCTTAAACACACCTCCTTTTGCACCTACACAAGATATTATCAGTAGAGTAGAACATGTACTCCTCTGAAACTACCTTTAATGTGTCAGGTACGGCAACTTCAGATTATGCCTCGGTCTGGAATAGCCAAAGTAATTAACAAGCTCTTATGAATAGGCCTCTTTTCATTTATTCATTTTAAGTTATAGTGCATTCGTTGGATTAATTAAAGCCTAAGCAGAATGGATTGTGAAGTTCTCCTAAAACTTAATGTTGGACTCCTTTTAGTTGTGAAGGAGCTCTAATCCTTATCTATTATATTCTTATATTTGATTATTGTATTTCTCTGGGACCGTGTACAACAAACATTAATCTCAAGCAAAGAGAAGATATACCTACGGTAGCTGATTTCTTACTGCAGTCGCTGAGCAATGTTAGCTGTATAAAAAGCATGCAACCACTGTTACACCAGCACCTTTAAACAGTACCTGACGAGCTGGTCCAGAATCTCAAACATTTATTTTCATGTCTGCGGGCTGCTCCACATTGACTCACGGTGACATCACAGATCTCTTTTGGCTTCTGGCATTTTAGGCAGGGTCGATGTTCATAAATCCAGATTTGACTTTGAAGTGGTTTTGCAATAACATTTCAGTTTTGAAATTAAGTTTTAGTAGTGGAATGAGAGTGCAAATGAAAAAGACTTGGGCTGTGGCTTTTAGGGTGCTCAAGGATTTGAACATCTTATAATGAAACCGTTTGAACTGGGTCTTGAATAACCATTTTGATATTTTGTAGGATTGTTATTAAGTCATTAAGTATTTATGACTTACACCACATTAGGCACTCACCCTACTGTGTGTTAAGAGACATTTTTGGAAGTTGTTATTGTTACATAATCCTGTTTTTCCACAACATTGCTTGGCAGTTAGTGTTTTTATGTAAGCTTGGTTTTTGAGGATGGACAGACAAGCCTCCCTCTAAATTATTTTTAGATTGTGCAACAAACCCAAGAGAACGAAAACAGGAAACTTGTGAAACAACTGTGCAAAGCCAAGTCCATGCAGTTAGAGAACACTTTAAGAAGGTTCCTGTTTGTTCTACACTGGGAGAAGAAGAAGAATATGGATTGTGTGACGTGTTGACAGAGGAGAGAGAGTAATGGAACATGAATGAAGGGAGACAGTAATGGAAAGCCCAGCGTATTGTTTTAGTGGACAGTTGTGTCATGTGGGGTAATGGAGAGGCGACAGCTGTCTCTACGTATGCCCCCCCCTCATCCTCAGCTGTTGCCCTGCCCCATGGACAGCTGTTCTCCCAAACACACACACACATGCACACACACACAGACCAGGCTGCGAAAAGGCCCCGATTAGCTGCCAGTGTCTGTGACTCAGCTGATGATGAGTTTGGCCTCAGAGGGAGATCCCCCCATTGACCTATTACAGCATGACACACCTTGCTGCATAACAATAGAGTTTCTAGTTTATCATGTCATATGGTCATAAATAGACCCAAGGCTATCATATTATGATGCTATGTACTAGATGTACTTACAAGTGTTTAAAGTTGTCATGTAATACAGGTTCATTTTAGTTTTAATTGCAATGAAGTAGATTGGGAGTATACCATTTTTCTTACAAGTGACATATGCAAAGTTATTGAAGGAGAAAAACGTAGGCGATAATGGTTGGCCCAGAAACGAATGACTTCTTTGTTAGAAAAAAGGTCAAGGGTTTTCTATTTTAAGGGATTCATGTGTATTTAACAATGACAAAAAAATGTAATGCTAAATGAATACATGTGGGATATTAAGAAATGGGTGTGGTTTTGCTAATTATTCTCCCTTATTATGCTTCTGGGGTTAATAAGAGAACGGTACTTTGAAATTGGCACAACATTTGGCTGGCTGTTGAAGACCCATTCATCATTAGGATAACACCAATGTACAGCACATTACTCAGGACTGGTTTGTTCAATTAGCCCTCTCTGGTGCACGTGGGATCCAAAGCCCTGGGCTAATGTTTCATAGCCGGCAGCCAGCGAGGCTCATGTGGAGTTCCTGTCTCACTCACCTGGGAGAAGGCTGAGGCAGAACAGAGGATTCTTCATTTCCTCTTCCACAGTCACTCTTAATAGTCTTTTAATTAAAGTCTGATTTACCCAAGGCTGCGAGAGGAAGGAAACATGAAAACTCCAGTACAGAGGTTTAGTGAGACATTTTAGTCGGTGATTTCATGGAAAAACATATTTGAAAGCATTTCCTGCAGTTAAGGCTGTAGGATTAACTTGTGTTTGTCAACATTTTCACATTATGTGCTTAATCTCTTTGGCTGTCAGTGTAATTGTGCTGTTTTGAAAACCATAGTTCAGTGGTTTAATGTGTGTTTAACCACATTACCGTTGATTTGTAAAAACAATCAGTGAACAATTAGGAGTGAACATATTGCATCAGTCTTCTCACATCAAACACATTGTAGCTTTTGCATTACACTTTGACTGAAAAGGTTTTTTTAATGTGATACCAGTTTTTTACCACTTCCCCACTTCTTGGTTTGCATGCCTCATTGCCTTTTTATTATAATAAGAAAGAGATCTTAGTCATCGTAGTGGATAGATAACAAAAACAAAGTCTGTATCTGTAGAGTTTGCTACAGTGGACTCCATTTACCATGTGGCGGCTGGGTTTGGCATCTCTCCCCCGTAATGGATGATAATAGATACCAGAAGAGCCCTGAGCAGTAAAGCCCAGCAGGCATTCTATCCTGTGAATAACCTGGGAAGTTTCATTATTGTCAAAGTCAATTAAGGTTATTTGATTGTATAATGCATCGCCTCCTGTTGCACATGGCAGGCAGGTTACTTGGATGAATGTGCTTGAGAAAAGCAGAGACGCTGAACTGGAAATGTGATGAACAGATGTGGATTCCTTTTTCTCTGCACTAATTTACACCAGATCAAATCAGCTAGAGTCCTGTGCTGGTCTGTAGATGTACTTTTGGCAACATCCAATGTGAACATCTCCCAGCCAAAAGTACATTATAATCTGTAGTGCAGAGTGTCTTAAGTTTCCCATATTATAAAATACATTATTTTTCATTATGATGACAAGAGGAAAAGTGCAACAGTAGATTTGGCTTTATTGTATTTATTTTTGGGAATTTAACAATGGAGCTCAGATGTTCACAGATGTGTTTGCTGTAATATGATGAAGACACATTGATTGAACTACCACTTCAACACCAGTCAGATGTTTGACCAAAAATAAAGAGAAAGAAAACTAGAAGAATTGGAAGATTATGAACTTGATTAAACTCAGATGCTCGGCATTTTTTAAATCACTCGTGTGCTTTCAGGTTTGCAGGAAAAAGGAAGTGTGAAGGAAAGCTAGTGTCTAACATCACATCTCTCTTATTGTTCTCCAGCCTCTCATGGCTTTGCTTATTGATGTGCAGATGCAGCGTACATCTCTGGGTAGAAGTGGGTATTAGACTAACCCTCCGCTGGCTCGTGTGTCCGGATGCAGTCCAGCCATCAGGAAGTGATGCAACAAAACTGAGCCATAAAAGATCAAAAAATCTCACATAGAACAACAAGAAACCAGAATATCAGGATGTCAGTGTGTTTTGACTGTGTGTTATTGTGTGTGTGTCGATCAGCTTTGTCCACCCAGTGGAGCAGGATACAGCTATCAGCCATGTTGATGTGAAACTGAATCGCCGGATTGTTAACGCTGACCCCCGCTCTTCCTCTCTCCATCAGGTACCAACCAGTGGCCCCGCGCTGGAGGACAGACTCCGTCCTCTCCAAACTATGAGAACTCCCTTCACTCCCTGGTAAGCTCCTAAGTGTCACTGGTCACTGGTAAGTGTCTGCCGGCGTCTCTCATGATCGATGCACACTTTGGATAAGTTACCCGGGAAGGGCTGAGCCAGCATTACAGGGAGATTCCTGTCTGACAAATGTCTTTGTGAGGGAGGTGGGGGCAGAGCGATAACCAAACTGAACAATACCTGTCCCTCGGGCTTGCCATCTGTCCCCTGCTCCGTGGGGCTGGACGGGGATGACAGTTGGGGGATGGGTTCAGCTCAGGGGGCTGGTGGGGGGGTTGCAGCTGTTTGCTAAAACACGTCTCCAGAAATTCCTTCGCTGTCATGCGACCATAGCTGCAGATCACCTTTCATCCCGGCTACTCCCTGATGCAAATGTTAAGCATTTACATGTTCTGCTGGGATGCAAAGAGTGCATTTGATAGGAGAATAAACAGATTACCACGATGGATACAAATGTAGCTGTAAATATCTTCTTAATATCTTCTATTTGTATTTACAATAACAACCTGATATACCTACTAGCAAATTACAAGATAGTAACACATGTAAACCTTTACAATATAATGTATTTAAGTTTTAACAAACAGATGTGTTTGCCACGTACTGTCCGGTTTTCTGCTGGTTTGCCGAACCTCTTAAAAACCTGTGTAGGCTTTTGTTAAATTATTATTATTTAAATGTTATCTTTTAATACAATCAATTACAGGACTTATCTTGGATGTTTTGTTTACAATGACTAAACATACAGAAATAACTTTAAAGTCAAAATCAATCCAGCCTCAACCTTATCACATAGTCCCATTCAAACAGCCGATTGCATGTGAAGAGGATATTGAACATCACGATGTGGACGTTTCCTCCCACTCTGCCTCCCCCCTTTGTTTTGTCTCTTTATGGCCACCACAGATAAGTGAGGGTTCACAGGTGAAGCTCACGATGCAAGTGAATGAAATCAGATAACCTGAAAATGAGCTGCTGATAAAAGAAATGTAGGAACAAAATTCAATTCATGTACCGTGTGACACGATTTATAACATAAACTAAGCACAATTTGAGATATAACTCATTGTTATAACAAACACACCAAATACATACTTGTTGTAAAAGGTCCCATTCATAAAGGCAAACTGTGGTAAGCATCATCTTGTTGCTTGGGAAAACCAACTTTGGGATGCGTGTGACCATAAGATTTCATTACAGTTCTTTAATAAAGAAATATTCCACTCACAGCTAGTAAAAGGAGCTCAAATGATGATATATTCTCAGGATTGTTACAACATTGCTGCAATAAAAGTATGGATCACATTTCTTGGTAGCTGAGGCAAAAAACACAATCCAGTTTACTTCTGCGAAAACAGTGATGATCAACCGTCTAAACACGCAAGTGCGGATTCAGATTTCTGTGCCGATGAATATATTGAAGTGAATACGTTTTTCAGACTTTACTGTATTCCTTTCTGTTAAATTGAAGGCTTTGATAAACTACAAAGATTCCTGTTAGGTGGCTCAATGCTACATATCACCAAGTGTAGTGAAAGGCACAACTAGGTATGAGGAAGCATGGAGAAGACCGCTTCACCAGACCATGTATTTCAACAGAGAAAAGGCTAATCTTTGGAGTCAGCAGTGAACATGTGTGTGCATTCTATTTAATAGAATGTGGAGGATGTATCCTTTATATAACACCTCCAAGAAACCTTAAGAAAAGTAGAAAAGAACAAAACTGTATCAGCGGTTATTAAATGTGCAAACATCCTTACAAAAAGAGCGGTCAGCATTTTTGTGCTTCTTCCAAATCCTGACCTCCTTCTCTGTGTGTCTTTGCGAAAACAATCTCTATCCACAGTGTGTTTCTAGTATTTTTAGATATTGATCTTTTTTTAATCCTGTCTTATTCTTTATTTGACTTTGCCAGAAAAACAGAGTTCATCAGCAGTTACATGAGCATCTCCAGGATGCCATGTCTTTCTTAAAGGATGTCTGCGAGGTACTCCTCAGATAGTCTTCACTCTTTACGTGTTCCATACGTCTTTGCATACCTCACTTTATTTTTGACTTGCGGTCTACATACCTCACAGTAAAATGCAGTTTCATCTTTATTGCCTTTGTTCCCATAATGTCATGTTACGTGTTAGCCGCTTCAGCTTGCAGGAATCATCTTAATGTATCAATGAATGTTAAAATCTCAATTCATTGTTGAATCACTTCTGATTTCCATCTGCGTTGACTTTTACAACTCAAGCTGAAGTGGCTCAGTTGATTTTGCATTTCCTTCTTTATCTTGTGTTTAATATTTTTTTCTTTTAAAGTCCACACCATACAATCAGTTTTCTAAATGTTTGTCCTAATGTGCTTATACTAAGCTGCTCTGTCCTTCTTTCCCTCTCTTCCGCCTCTCCCTAACCCTTCCCTCTTCAATCCCTCTGGTCCTCCCAGTCTCGAATGGAGGATCGTCTGGACAGACTGGATGATGCAATCCTCGTTCTGAGGAACCATGCAGTCGGCTCCACCGCCAGTCTGCCCAGCGACATACACAGTCTGCTGGGACAGGCACAAAACGGGCCAATCGCAGCCCTCGGACTAAACTTCCCCGCCTCTGCATTGGCTCCAAGTCGGACAGCAGCGATGGTACGGAACTTCACACACAGTTTATGTCATTAATTATATTCGTTTTCAGGATAAAGTGGTGTTTTCCTACATGTCAAACTTCACATGCCGCCTGTTCAAAACAACATTTTCCACACACGAACACTTGATATATTTTCCATAAGTGTCATGGCTGGCCTCAGGTTCACCTCCTCTGGAGGGTGGCTGTATACACACAGGTGAAAGAAGAAATGGGGAAAACAGACGTAATGGATTTGGAAGTTGTTCTCCAGAGAAGGAAGTGTTTATGTGGTGCACTAAACCTCTTGAGGAAAAGAAGAAAGCAGGTCTCTGTATAAATCATAATGCTTAAACCCAAACTCCATCCAAGGTATTTTATTCTGAAGAGCCAAGAGATTTAAACACATCTGCAATGGAAAATAAAATGTAGCAACTGGTCCAAATGTCATTTAAAAGGTGATTGGAAATACTAGTTTTTGCACACAATAAATAAATCAATTCTTTAAAGAAACTGGATGCAAATGATAGAAGAAGAAGTCAGAGACACATGTAACAATATGTTTTTCTGATTTATATTTTTTCCCACTTATTTAAAGTCCCATTCCTCTGAGGAAAGTGACATTCGTCCATGATTTATATTAAGTTACATGAGTTTCGGATACAGACCAGATGTCTGTCTGGTTTTCCAGAAGTGTTTATTTGTGTTGTTTTTATTATCAATGAATCACTAAGTCTCTAAAATCATAACTTGGTAAAATAAATAATTTCCTAAAGCCTAAGAAAAAGTCTTAATATTGCTTCAGTTGTTTAACCAACCCCAAATTATTCATTTCACTTCACAACACACGATTAAAAAAAAAGGCAGCAAATCCTCACAGCTGGGAAACAGGAACAAGATAACATTTGGCCCTTTTAACTTTAAACGTGATTCTGACAATTAATCAATTGTCACAATAGCTGCCAAATTTGAAAGTGATTCTGAAGATTGATTTAAAGGTGAATTGCTATTTCTTTCAGCTCTTGCAATGTGATAATGTTCCTGTCAACCCAACACCAGGCATCCAGCCGAGATGAAACAGGAATAATGAATCATGTTTTCATTTACTCGTTTTAATGTTTATTTTTCACCAAAAACATTTCACTTGGCATGATCATCAAAGCTGCCGGAGAATCTGGTCCAACTTCCTTCTCAGGATTTGTATTATATCCCTCTCTGGTCTCTCAAACCTTCTTTGTCAACGTGAATTTATTTTGAATACAGTTTATTGTTTGCTGTAAGGCTCTGTGCTTCTGTGACTGTGTGTTTTCTGGTGCTGAAGTTTGAATCTCTCAGAGTAGCTTGTTTGTCCCCTAACAGGAATGGTCCTGTGGTTGTCAGAAGAGCTCAGTCTGATGTTTTTGTTACAGAGAGCTGTGTTGTGGCAGTGATGTTGACGGACTGTGACTGAGATGAACATACTGTGTGTTCACTAACACAGCACTTCCTGTGTGGGAACAGCTCCCCTCAGAAAGAGCTCACCAGCCTCTGCACAGCTTTTTACTCCGTCTCACACCCCGCCCACCCTCTACCCCTTTTCATCACTCCTTTTTAACAACCCAGGGAATCTGAATGGATGGAAACGTGTGTCTGAACCCGCGGCCTCACCCAAACAGAGCTCCTCAGCTGTATGCTAATCAGTTCCAGCCAGGAAAATGGCAGCGTTCTTTTCTTGCCAGAGCCCGGCCTCCCTCCTCCTCCTCCTCCAGACAAAGAGTTGTTTGGACACCTGTTGAGAGCACAGCAAAGATTAGCGTAGTGCTGGAGAAGGGGAGGGTCTCAGGGTGGCGGGGTTAACAGAGGCCAACAGTGACTGGGGATCACATTCTTATAAGAAAAGGAGGAGACACCCTCCACCCTCAGTGACGATTTCCCCGCATTTCCCTGGTTCTCAGAGGGGAAATCAAATGTGGTGAACCTCAGGAAAGAGGGACTGACTCTGGGACCATTTCTATGTCACGAATGTGGACAAACTAAAGAATGATGTTCATGACTGTTGAGTGGTGTCAGCGTGACATCTTTTGAAACTGAACACAGAAGGATTTGTCTCATTTTAGACACGAGAAGCAGACGTGGTCGTAGCTGTGGTTACAGAGAGCTAAGTCTGAGAATGTCTCAGCAGAAAAGAGGGTTTGATAAAATGTCCTAAATGGGCCTTTTGTTTTTTTTAAATATACTTACAAAGGTGGCTTTTATTTTGTGTTTTTTCTACCCTTTGCTTTGCTTGCTATAACATACTACTATGTAACAAAAGACTATAGCATGCACCATTGTTGGGAATGGCAGGCTTAAATGAATAGAGCCTGAACTTTTTTAGCAAAAATTCACATGAATAGTTAAATATTTCAATATGTGCAGCTTGTCAAATAGCATCCAATCTACATTTTAAATAACGTTTTAGGTATGGGCTGAAATTATATCAGATTTTTGCTGAATGATTTTCATGGACATTTTCAAAGAATTCATTATAGCAATATATTTATGTATAGCAAATCTGAAAAACCAATGATAGTAATGCTGTAAGTCAAATTTCTCTTTAACTTGTTTTATTGTGCGTTATTTTGTGTCTTGGGCGTTGGAGAAATGAGACAGAGAATGGACCATGACAGAAATGATGTATTTATATTTTTTATAAATTATTCAAAAGGCACTGGATTTTTTACAAAATATAATCATAATATGTGTATTCTTAACATGATATCAATATTTAATTGTATTTATCGTCAGTACTGGAATACTGCGACACCCCTAGCATGTACGTTTGAACATGTGAAGGACCTCTAATAAAATCATCCTGTGTGGATCTACCCTAAACAGAATCTCACTGATGTCTATCTGCTGAAGTTTGTGTACGGCTCTCATTATTCGCTTTTCTCTTGTTTAAAATAAGGTTTCATGCATCTTCTCCAAACAATATGTGCTTCCTGTCTTGACCCTCTCCTCCCTGTGTGTGTTGCAGCAGGGCGGGGCCCACGCTGACGATGCTGCCGGCCTCAACAACAACAACAACAACAACAGCCACGGAGGCCCGCCCAGCGCCAGCTCCACATCCACTGCAGAACTCCACCACCAGTTGGAAACCTTCAGAGGTCCGCTGCACCCCCTCACCCCCACTCTTATCAACTCATTATATGGGCCTTTCTCAGTTTGTGTGTAATGTCTTACCTTTACCTTTTACATTTCCTTCTTCAGGTCTGGCCTCTGCTCTGGCCGGCCAGCTGCCCGGCGCTCTGGGGCTGAAGCTGGAGAAACACGACAAAGATGACATGAACCACCTCTCCAACGATGACAAGTCGGATGATGAGGGCGACAGAAAAAATATGATGACACCCAGAGGAGGCACACGCACGAGGTAGGAAGATTTTGAAAAAATATATATATTATACAAAGTAAAATAATTTAGGTCTGAAAATACTACAATTTGAACGGATTGTGTTTTTCTATTTAGTTAGTTAGTACTATGATGTCTTCTTAAGATGTAAGATTGTCTGTTTTATTTTGTTGTTATCTGACTTTAACTCTTAAACAGTTCTTTCTCACACAGCATTGAGGATGAGGACCTGAATCCGGAGCAGAAGGCCGAGCGTGAGCGTGAGAGGAGGATGGCTAACAACTCCCGTGAACGCCTAAGGGTGCGAGACATCAACGAGGCCTTTAAGGAGCTGGGTCACATGGTCCAGGTGCACCTGAAGAGCGAGAAGCCCCAGACCAAACTGCTCATCCTCCATCAGGCCGTGGCTGTCATACTCAACCTGGAGCAGCAAGTCAGAGGTCAGGGTCATTATATGCTTTACTCAGGAATTGTTGCAAATAGCTGGAATGTCAATGCAATTTTTGTATGAGTTTTTTTATGTTGTTTGTGAGCCCTTTAACCCAATTTCCTGTCATGTCTTATCAGGATGAGATGGACAATAAAAATGCATCTTTGAATCTTGACATCACATAGAATCAATAGTATTTATTTAAGATGCCTTACATTATATTCCTGCAGGCGGTAACTTTTTATTTTAGTGTCACATCCAAAGAGGAAGCAGTAAATATGGAGCAATAAAAAAGAACTGCAGTAAACAGGGTTGATTTATACGGAGCTATTTCACTGACAGAGCTGCCACGTACAGATAGTCCTCCATAATATCACAACAACAGTAAAGAAACTGCTGGGAAGCTGTTAATACATTGACTAAAGACATTATAGTTTGCTGTAGCTTCATATTATAAGACATTTAAGCAAGTAAGTCAAACATTTTATCCGGATTTTGCTTTATTCACTCACTAAAAGGCTGGATCTTCACAATAATGTGTTATAATAATAAAGAAATAGACCAGATTAATGCTCTCACTATGTTTGTTCAAAGCAATTAGAATAATAATGTGCCATAAACATTTAATTTCTGTCTCTCTGAACCACAGAGAGGAATCTGAACCCCAAAGCAGCCTGCCTTAAGAGGAGGGAGGAGGAGAAAGTGTCCTCGGGCTCCGGGGACCGTCCAGGCCACGCCGACTCCTCTAACCCCATGGGCCACCTCTGAGCAGCACACAGGTATGCTCACCTAATTTTTTATATATTTTTTCTGTATAAACAATATTTTTTTATTTTGTTTTACTGTTTTATTATGTCTTAAATATATGTATATATATTTGTTAAAGTCCATCACAATTTCCCTAAATTCAAATCGTTTTTTTCTATCAACGGTTTACATCCAAACGATATATGTTAAAAATGGTCTATTTCTGTTTGTCTGTATTATTGTTATTATTTTTAGCTTACATATGTATTCTGTATTCTGCATTTTGTATATTTTGTAATTAATTGCTGTTGTCTAATTTGTATTTTTATTATGTACTTTTACTTATTTTAAAAAAACACAATATGTGTGCTTTTGGTTGTACATGTTGTGTATTAATCTCAATACAAATGTGATCACGAACAAAAAAAAAAGAAATAATCTAAACCAATAAGGGCAGCAAATCTTTACTTCTGGAGGAGATAGAAATACGTATCTAATAATTTAGCACTGTTAATAAACAATAGTTGCACGTTAATTTATCAATGTATTGACTAGTTGATCCAGCTCCTTCACATCTCTGGAATAAGAATCAGTTTCTAAAAATATATGAAAGAGTAGCAGATGTTTTTAATATGTATTCTAATGCACAGATTGTCCTGCTGTGATTATTGATCAGAGTATTTCCCCTCTTCCCAGATCAAAGCGATCCACATCATCTCTGTCTGTGACCTTGCTTCTCAGTGACAGACAGGACTCACAGTTTGTGACACCAATCGAAGGAGACAGACCACTTGAAGCAAAAAACGACGAGACTAACACAATCCAGTCCTAGAAGATTGAAGAAGAGCCGAGCGAAGCGTCCAGCTCCGTGTGAGCAGTTTCCATCTGCAAAATGTCTCCCCACAAAGAAAAAGTCTTCAGCACATATCACTGTCTGCAAGAAGTGTTGTTGCTTCTGAACAATCAGAGACTTCGCAATCTCCTCCAACCATACGTGGAAATTGCCTTGTGCCTAAACTGAATTGACAAATGCATTGTAACAGCAATTTCTTTTGTTTGTTTGTTTGTTTTTTTCCTTCTATTTATGATGTTATTGAACTACAGTATGCAGTGTATGTCTAAAGGGAACGTTGAGCAAATTGAAAGAGAAGTATGCAGCTTTTCAGTTTATCTATAGTTTGCCAGTGTCACCATTAAAACTGAACACTCTGAAGCCAAATCTCTGGCGAGTCCGAGAGGAGGGGGCGATATTTGAGCACTGAGAAAATTAATTTATTGGCCAGTTTAGAGTGATATCTATAGCCCACTGTCAATGATCACTAGCTTTTAGAAATAACCGTCCCATAACAATAAGAACAGAGCCTATATTATTTATATTTGATCTATACTGCCACTGACCACATGTAACTCCTTATGTTTCAGCTTATGTGATAACGACCCCCAGCATAATTGGCACGACTAAGTTAGCATTACCATATTGTCTACAAAAGGTGATGAATGGCAAACTCTAGGTTTACTGAAAGCTCAGGTGTAGTTGTGTGTTTTTCATCGTTAGGGAGAAGTGAAATGTTTGCAAACCTTAGCATTCCCTTCATATTTGTTGTGTCTTAACTAAAAGAAAAAGGGGATCGTATTGCCCTTCCTTTTGCCATATAGTGTTAAATGTAAGCAATGAGATATGTTTGCAGATTCGTCTTGATTAAGACGTAGTTAAGAAAGAAAACAAATGCCGACGACCACACTTTCTCCTGGCCTGATAAACACATCCCTTGTTCTGGTAATATCTCAAGACATTTTCAAACGCAGTTATTCTAAGATTTTTAGTTATGCTTATTTGTGTTGTAACAAGTCATTTTTTATTCTTCCAGCATTATCATGTCCAGTTTCAGTCAGTTTTAACTTATTTTCTATTATGTTTTCATCCAATATATAAAAACAGACCAGATATTTCATGCATTTCTGGAATATCAAAGAACTGTAGCACAATAATTTCTTTTATGTTTTAAGACATTCATGGCTTTCATTTGTTTTCCCTATCAGTGTGCATGCTTCATGTTTGCCCTGGGTCTTAAGACTTGCTTTATATTCCATGTATTTCTTTGTATATTGTCTTCTATCATTATCTACAACTTAAACAAGGCTGCCACATTCGGAATCAGAAACAGATTTGGATAGTCTTTACAAAAAAGGGACTAACCGTGAGCTTACAATAAATATTTTATATTTTAAATTGTTGTTCTTTAAAGAAAAAAAATCTCAAGCTAATTATGTGAATTTTTTTCTTGCTATGATCTCAGGATTCATGTTGGCAGACTTTGTTTAAGGAATAGTGTGTGTGTCACTTCCTGCTCTTTTTTTAATTTCATGTGTTCCTACAGTATATTGCTTTGCTCCTCTGTTGCCAGGTTAGACTGCTGTATTCCCAGATGCTTTCCCTTGTATAATATATGAGAAAAAAGAACATTTAAAAAAGAAAAAAAAACATTTGGCTTATTTTTCACTGTAGTTAGTCTTTTATACAATAATACTGTAAGAATATTTCTTGAATTCTAAATATTACTCTTTCTAGATTTTTGAAAGCAAAAGTTTTGAGTAAAAAGTTTCTTACTTTATTTTACTATATTAGATAGTAAAATGTATGGTTATTTACAATAGCCTGTCCATTATTACAAGATATTCAGAAATGCCATCTCAAGAACAAAGCATAAATGTTGCTCGTAGTCTAACACATTAAAAGACTATCTACGAGCTCCAAATTACTAAAAGTGCGACCTCCATTTTCATTTTCAGTCTCGTTGTTGATTGATCAAATATTTGTCCTGTTGTCAAATGAAAAGGTTTTGTTGATGCGCATAAAAAAAACTGCGGCAATGAGAATTCGAATTTTCTGTCTTTTCCAACAGAAAAACACAATGTATATAACATTTATGTTGCAATAAATGTGCCATCTTTTTTCTAAATTCAATTGTATGTGCATTTATTTCTCATTGCGCAAACACGTGTTTCGGTGTCTGATCCATCATATCATTATCACGTCTTCTCAACGTTTATTTTAATTTGAACGAAAAGGCACAGGAAGCATGAAGTGGGACATGCTCAGATATGTGGGGTTAACTAAGACTACCTTTTATCTTTTATTAAAATATATGTGTAACAGTGGGTTTAGGCCAAGTACATTTTTTATAGTATTTACCCATTTTTTAAAAGAATACCAGTGGACTATTGTAGTCTGTATAAAAGTATTATGAGTATACAAAGACACCACTTTTTTCTTAAATCTCAATCTCTACATGTATGGTAGCCATTCCATTCCAGTGTCTGTTGATTTCCAACACAGAGAAATGTTGTCTGTAGTTTATAGATTAAGATAACAACAATAATAATTGTAATCAAACATATACCTATACTGTAAATAGTAAAAACCAGAGAAACTGATAATGCTGCAGTGGTCTCTTACATTTTTCCAGAGTTACCATACAATGAGCTGGTCCTACTTTTTTACCTTTACATTTAGGCAGGTATGAAGACAGAGAGGTCTTGTATGAAAGATACTGCAGCAAAAGGGAAATGCATTAATATGTGTCTACAGAGGGAACTAAATTAATACTCAGAAAACATGAATTTTATTTTGAGTACCTCTTTTTTCAATTTCAAGATGGTTGATTATTATAAAATGTCTTTTGACATGCATGTACTGTAAATGCAGAGGTAATACAAAACAAAGAGATACACTGAAACCAGAGTGCAGACGTGATGTGTGCAGCCATTATGAAAAGAACAAACCTAAACAATTAAGTTAATGAATCCCAAAAGTGTTGCTAAAATGCTGATCTGAAACTGGAGGACTGTGCTGCTGTAAATCTCAGACCCTGGTACATCTGCACAGAATTATCCTCGTGCAGATAGATGCTCATCGTGTCCTGAGAGGTCTGATCCTTCAGTTTTCTGAGGGGTGACACTGCTGACTGCTGCTCTGCCTGTGGTGAGCCCAGTGATGCAACATTAATCATGGCATGTCATCTTTCTATATTCTCTGCAGGAAGAAACAGAATGTGTGAGGGTGTGCGGCTGGTGCTATGTGTGTGAATGTTTCTGAAGGAGTGGGACCACCATGTCTGAAGCTGACTTCCTGTCAGGGCTGCTGGGCCAGCTGACAGAGAGTCCTTGGCTCGACTCCTTGAAGCCCGACCAAAGAGCCTGCTGCTCCTCCTGCTCCCAACAGTGAGATCATCCGCCTCTCTGCTACTCTCAGGATGCAAGCTGCGCTAAACATGCCTCTTGTCTTCTCTTCACCGAAGAATGAATAATTACATCGGTTCAAAATGAGCTTTTCTCGGCAGGATTTTTTCCTTCTTTTCCTTTGAGTTCTTTCTAGGGAACTTCTTGAAAATGGTGAACTACTTATTGCATCAGATGCAATTTTCAGCACCTGAAGTTTAGATGTCAAAATGTCACTGAAAGAGACAAAAAGACTATTTAAGTCTGGATGTCTTGCTGTTATTCAGGAGAGGTGGAGGGGCCTTCTTCAAGTATGTTCCCAGGGCCCAATTGTTTAAAAATGTGTGCTTGATACAATTTCAAATATATTTTGGACAAGAATAATAACCACATATTGGTAATTTTGTAGTAAATTAGCGCTGCTGCCAAACCCAACTCTGGTTTTTGTCTTAAAATAAAGGAGGGAGTTGAAAAAGGACGATAAACGTGATAAGAGGAGTCTTTAAGAAACTGTGGCTCCCGATAAATAATGTTCAATGCAATTTACTCCACTGTGTAAAGGCATTTCCTGTCTTGTGTTAATGTGAAATTGACGATGCAACATTATAAAATGTGCATCCTACCTTCCTGAAATCAGACCTTTGAATGTGGAATCGTTGTGCTTTCTTACATGACTTGGAACTGGGAAATACAGTCATTTATCCACCACAATGTCTTCAGTGGTTGCTGTCACATTGATGCAGAGCTAGTTAAACTCACAACATTGTTCATAAATCAACAACTTAAAAGCTAAAATGAGCTAAATGTGTGCCTCGTATGACATCTCTGTGCGCATGTAATTTAGCTTGATTTGGCCTGCAATCCTTCTTTAATCAGGATAAGACTGAGCTGTGCACTGAGCATGTCCAGAGGCCCCAGCTGTGGCTCCTCAGCGGAGAACAGAGCTCTCATTGTGCTGCTATAACCCAGCGCAGTGGCACAGAGCTCAGATTAAAGGCTGCAGTGGTGCACAATGTCTCTGTGGACACAAATATAAACAGTGGGCCACTGCAGAGTCACATGGACAGCAGGGCCTCCAGTTTAATGTACTTTGAGGTCATACTGTATGCTATAATGAGCATTACAAGTGTTGCTTTTCTGCTGGAAAGTCAATAAATACATTTTCTTACTAGTACTACACTGGAGCTTTTTAATTTCACTATAAATGTACATACAATTACACTGTATTAAAAATCTAATGTGAAATAGGCCTACTTGTATTGGGTGATTTTGTCCAGTGTAAAGAAAGATGAACTGAATCAGCAGAAAATGTGTATGGGTTTTGTTGTCTGAACACCAGCATCCATGCAAGAACTTGTAAGAAAAAATTGTAAAAGTATAAAATCCAATACATTGACAGTTGTTTCTAGTATTTTGTCCATGTTATAGTTGAAGAGCCAACATATTAAAATATAAATAATATATAAAAAACAACCCAACACGACAACATCGGCTGAAATCAAGACAAAATTACAATGGAGTTAAATGAACACCTTTCTAACACAGTGCCAACAAAAGTATTATTATATTATGACAGAAAATACTAAAATGTGGCAGAAACAATTGTGGTTGATATTATCATTGATCAATTTGATTTTTAATGGGTGAATAGTCCTTTTAAGATACTGTAAAAAAAAAAAGTTGTTGCTCTGTTAAGATAACAGTATAAAGCACATAACATATTAAAATCCCCCGCTGCACCTTCATTTTAACTGAAACTTTTACCCTTCTCCTGCTCCTGTTCATTTTAAGCCATTTTAGACCTATTTATCACGGCATATTGTTGCTTAGCCCTTGCTCTACCTCTTAAAGTTCACATACATACACTTTATTTCTAGAATAATACACCTTCTCTCTTTGGTTTACCAGGACATTTTTCAACACTTCTCCATCCAATTCAGCATACTGGCTCCTACAAACACACACTCTGGGTACATCTAATGGTGATGCGTTCACTAACCAGTCTATGTATGCACCAGCACCACCAGCAGCTCATGTCCTCATTAACTAACTTCAGTCAGCTCAGCTTTCTATCCACTAGATGACGCTCTCGGATGTTAAAGACATGCAGCTGCAAATTGCATTCATCAAGAGTGCAGATAATTACAACTGACATGGATTGAGGGGAGCACATAGGCTAAGTGTATAATTCTCCGAGGGCATTTACTTATTTATTTAGTAGTTGTCATGATACAGGAAATACACATCCATTTATGAACCTAAAGAGTGTAACTTGTATTGTAATCTCACAATATTTCTGCAGGGTGTGTTTTGCTTATTTCACAAACACATAACACATAACAAATATTTGAGTCAAGAAACGCAGCCTACTTTTATTCCACATAGCAAAAATAATGAGTCATACATCAACATTTATGATAAAGTCATTGCTATTTTTTATTGAGTTTTTAATAGTATAATAATTATGTTGGCCCATGTTATTTCATACACACGAACATGTACTTGAATTACTTTTCTTTGTCGACCCTTGTGTTTCATATTTGGTTAATTCCGTTTATAAAAAGTAAATATTTTATAATGAGCTCATATATGGAAGATGATTCTTTTAGCGTGAGTCTGGTCTCACGTAATTTGGGTTTTGAGACCCCGCTGGGCTGAAGCGAGCCGAGCTGGGCTGGTCCAAAAACCCGGACCAGAAGTATTAAATGGGGTTCAGGCAGGATTGGAGATGTGAAATCTGTTCCTGGACCAGCCGGTTAGTTTTTGGGTGGGCGGATTTGTGCGCTTGTTTCAGGAGGCGGGGCAGCCCGGAGGGTCGGTCCTTCTGAACTGCTGCTCTCTCTCCCAGAAAACAACACAGGACTAAATAAGTTAGCAAGCAGTGGCGCGGGCAATTTGCTCAACTCGTTTATCTTTTAAAACTGATTATAACAAAGTGCTGATAATCTGCGATAACTAAAAGAGAGAGAAAACCGACGCTGGTGAGTAGATAACGTTTTAATTGTAACGATACTTGAGTTAACAGCCGTGAAAGTTTAGAAAAGGCTACTGATTTTAACAGCATAAAGGACAATTCACTTGGTATTCTTGACTTGATTAAGTAACTCACGGAAAAGAGAGAAGTTTTTCAGTAAATCTCAGGCTGCTGGTATGATTTATGCCACCTGTTGCACCGAGCAGCGATGCAAGTGTCCAGAAACTTCGTCAACTTAAACCACAGCTCTTTCTTCACTTTAATTACTCGACTAACTATTTAAAAACTCTATCCTAAATACCGGTCTTTAATTATCTGCCATATCATTTTAAATGTGTTTAAAGTAGGCTACCTCCTTTACGTTCACGTTTCACTTACCTGTCGCTCCAGATTAGTGAACTCACATGTTACGTAACTTTATAATATTTTCCCACTGAGTAAATCCTCGCTGTTGGGACTGACTCGGGTCACCTTTTACATTTACTCTTTCAAGGTCGGCCCTCTGCTGTTAACTGATGTGTTTTCTTCATGCAGTCATGTGAGTCAGCTACAGACACAGTGTCTGGACTCTCTGTGACACAGAAAACTAATGAGTTCACATGAGGAGATACACATCTGCTTTGTTAAATCTTTGCAGAGTGTCCCCTCTGCACAGATCAAAGCCAGGCCCTTGACATCCAACCTGTGCAGCTGTGCTGACCTCTCTGGTCTGCAGCACAGGGGTCAGTGAAGGCAGCACGGCCTCTATGAAGGACAGCTCAGTCAGGGTTTTCCTCCTTTTGCTGGGAAAAATACAATGGGAGGAAGACAGTTGCACACTTGTTGGAGCATAAATGTGACACGAAGGATAAAAGAGTCCATTGTGTGTTGTCTTTAGCTTTAATCTGAACTCCAACAGCACTCTTCCTCCTGGACAGGACACTTTGCGTCCTTCTTCTTTCCTCAGTAAAGACTGAAGAGTGGGAAGATGTCTGACTAATAAGCAACAGGATATACTTATCAACCTCAAACTGAGGTGAATATTGCTTGTTTGTTCCAGTGGTTGTCATCCTTAAAATAAGTGTCTTACCCCACTGAGAAAAAGGCAAATTCATACAGCAAATGACATGCAGTATATTTAACAAGCTGTGTCATGTGGCTTACAATTTTGGCTAACCATTTTCCTGAAGGACACCCTGAAATCATCTTTTAGAATGTATGTCATACTATATCTATATACATATACTTGAATAGAGCATTTCATTGGGAGGGTCATTTTAGAAACTGTTATTTATAATTCATATTGATGTAAAAACAATAAAACAGAACATCACATTTTTCAATAAAGCCATCCAGCTCAATGATTTGTCATTTCCAACTTGTTCCAAAAATGGCTCAATGGAACTAGAGACAACCAGTATGGCAAGTCTGTTTCTGTAAAAATCTTCTCACAATGCTTATCGTCGTTAAACCCTATCTGGTTCTTTATTTTATTTCCTCTGCAAAGGAGGTTAAGTTTTCAGGTTGGGATTGTTTCTTGGTCCGATTCTCATAAGGGTGTAGCATACTGTATGTCTACGCAGAACACTCTACATTTTAACACATTCATTTTGAATTTGGTTAAAATTGCAAGATGGGGCATCTGGCCTTGATGAATGACTAGATCTGCTCGATACTAAATAGGCTCTGTAGTATCAGTTGTCTATAGGTCTGTCCTTACCTATTTAATGCTAATGTCATGTGTCCTGCTTGAGCTTTGTTGCCAGTCTTATCTCTGTCCTTCTTCCAGGCCCATCTGGGTCGTATTTGTCTTGTAACATCAGGTAGAATGAAACGCTATCAGCAAGGCAAACGGGCCCATTGTCCAGGGAAACACGTGTTGGCTGCTGATGGCTTTGTTTTCACCGGCTTCCCAGGCATAAATGTGTTTGAAAAACACTAAGCAGATTACTTTAATATTTGTACACAGTTTGATATTTATTGCCATCTGTGTTCTCACGATCGTGCTGCAAATCTGTCAACCCCGGACAGCCTTGCAATTATTATAAATGTGACAAAAGTGAGCCAAATGAGATTGTATCGCTTTCTTTTCAAGAAATATCCCATGAGTGAGGGCTGCAAATTACAATGTCACTTACAAGGATCGATTTCACTATACTGTGTGTATGCCTATAGACACACACACACACGCACACGCACACGCACATACACACACACACATTCACTTTGAACCTAACAAAGTTGTGTAGAGATGACAGCTCTCACATTTCTCTCAGGGCTGACTGACTCATGTTGTTATTTATCTGTCAATACCTTTTCATCTTAGCCCATTAACCTATATTCTTTGTCATGCTTGTCAAACAGTCACTTTGTCAAACCATACATTTTATTCACTTGCTTGTAAGGCTTTTCTAAACACTACCTGGTAATTTTTTACAAAGAATGTGGCTGAGGTTGACTCATTTTTTCTGAGATACTATAGGTTCTGAGATGTAAGGCAACACAGGGAGCTTATTGTCTTCATTTGGTCAGAGCACATTAGCTGAGCAGTTAGACAGAAAAATGACTGTGGAGAGAAAGAAGAAGAATAAGGCTCACTCAAAACCAATACAAAATTATTTGTTGTCTTATCCATTTATTGATCTACAGAAAAACAACAAACAAATATTTTGATTATCTATTATTTTAAAGTATTTTTCATGGATAGATAGCAGAGAAAGGCTGTGTAAGCCTCTAAATTATCGAGGGTTACCGTATTCTCAGTTTTTTTGTCATATTTAACTTAATATCTTTGGATTTAGGGCTATTTTAAAGGTCCCATGTCATGGCCATTTCTACTGATCATATTTCCATCCCCCCCCCTCCCTGTGAGCCCAGTGTGCTCTGATTGGTCGGGACGTTGCGAGGCTCGCTACTGCGAGGAGCAGACAGGTTTCCGGGTCGGCAATACAGAGAGACACAGCGAAAGTCATCCTGATCACACACAAACACTCACAGCCGAAGTAAAAACAATAAGTTTGGCTTGATATTGAGTAAGAAAAAGGTTTATAACGCTGTGAGAATGGGTCTGCGGAGAGCATTTCTCCACGATCCCAACTCGTCTATTACCAACCAGGGAGCTCTATGCAAGTCAATGGATCCTGGTGTGGGAGGTGCTCCGCGGATTGGTCCATTTGGGTCATTTGTTGTTGATTTGGATATTCACACGTCACAGAACCCAGGAAGCAAACAATGGAAAATGAGAAATCTCCAACGACGCGTTTTGGGGCAGCATAGACGGGTCTTTTCTGTGTTAGAGTTTTATTCGCTACAGGGTGTACTTTGAGGGTTTTTGACTCTGCAGACCGTTTACATGCAGAAAAACCTACATAACACACAAGGGGACGGGTAATAACCAGAAAAGCATGACATGGGCCCTTTAAATTAAAATGGATTATTCTAGAAAAAGTATTGTTACGCTCAACCGCTTATTCATAACAATAAAAGCAGATGTAATTAAATGCAGCAAGGCTTTGATGTGTCATCAGTGGTTGAGTGTGAACTAGGAAACTTTTAGAGACATTGAATTATGTAGCATCTCTGCCTCATTGACCTGTCTGAATCTTTGCTTGCAGAGGTGGACCACCTGATCCAGGGAGAGGGATTTATTTTCCTTCAGCATTCCTGATGGAGTCGTACAGAGTGACTGGCATTCCTAGCAGTGGACCACAGCGGGACCACACTCAGCCGTCCCGCCCCTCCAGGCCCCACAGTAATGGAGCTGGTTCATACGGTCTCAGCATCCGTGTCCAGGGTATAGATGGACACCCCTACGTAGTTCTCAACAACCAGGACAAGGGTCCTCAATCCTTCGTCGACCCTAACAGCAATGGGTACATCGACACAGATGGCTCTTTTATTGAGAACTACCAGGAGTATGATTTCCGGAGAGCAAAGGAGGCTGAAGCCAACGACCCCTTCATGGAGTACAGGTCTCAGAAGATGACTCATCACACTGGTCCTCAAAATGGCATTGCAGGTTCACAAGGAAATAAATCTTCTTCCCTTCGGAACTTTCAGAAGCACCCTGAGATTCTGAAGCCGTATGATCCGGAGAACAACACCCTGAACGTGGACAGCTCCCAAAGCCTGCCTTCAAGACCCCTGCCTCTTCCTGAAACTGGAAACCAACACCAGATTTCTTCCTCCAAATCTGCTGCACCATCCAACATCCATTCAACCAGCCTGGATCGGAATAAAGCTCCTCTGCAGCCAGAGAAACGGCAACCTCCACCCCAGAGCCTGGGTAAGACGGCTCTTCCTCAGCCGAGGTCGCAGCCTCTGTCTTCCCCTCCATCCCAGCCCGCTCAGCCTCAGTCCAAACCTCGTCTCTCTAACCTGAATCAACCTCAAACAAGGCTGGGTTCTAAAATTCAGCAGCAGCCAGTGTCTCCAGCCCAGAATCAGCCCTCAACCGTGTCCAGTCCCACAAGTGAGAACAACAAGATGTCATGCCAGTCTCCCACTTCTATGAGCAGCACCAACTCCAGCCTGGACCGTTCCCGCCGTGAGCCTGACGTCCTTCCTCTATGTAGGACGGACTCCAGCGGTCCAGTTCTTCAGTCCTCATCCCGCTCCCGCCACTCCTCCTCATCTTCCACCTCCAAGGCTCTGGTGGACGAACAGATGGACGCCCTGTACGCAGACACCATCAACCGCCACGGGAACCGCCGCTACATCCCGTTCCTCCCAGGTTCAGGCAGAGACATTGACACAGGCTCCATTCCTGGTGTGGACGAGCTAATTGACAAGTTTGATGGCAAAGAGGGAAACCACCAGCATAGAGGCAGAACGGGACGCAGGAACAGGATCAATCTGGAGGACAGGAAGCGCTCACGCAGCGTGGACAGCGCCTTCGGCCTGCCAGATGGCTCTAGCTACGTGGACGGGTTGAACTGCCAGCGAGGCACGTCGATGGAACATGTCCTGAGACCCTCACAGCTGCGGCAGAAAGCAACCGGCAGTCAGGACTCCTGGCTCACCGCTGTGGATGGTAAGGTCAACACCAGGGCTTCTTCTCGTACCACAAGCGCACCCGGCTCCCCCCAGAACACCCTCTCTACAGGTGTTGGCGCCATACAGGGTTACAGAAAGCCACGGACTCGCACCTCGTCATTTCCATTCAAGAGGTCAGAGAGTGAGGACTTTTCAGATGGAAAAGTTTCAACAACATCCCTGTCAACAACTCTATCCAAGCCTTCTTCTTCCTCAGGCAACAAGCCCAATACAGAGGCAGATGTTCAGGTACAAATTGATCTTTAGCATTATGATTAGACATTTTGATTCAGATATTTTTCTTCCAACACAACTATATTATCCATGTCTGTTCTATCTTTCAAAAAAGAGGGACACCTTTATTTGCTTTGTTAAGATCTGTTTCATTTAATTAAGTTCTCCCTCTCATTTCCTGCCATTTCCAGGCGACACCTGATCTCCTGAAAGGTCAGCAGGAGCTTTCCCAACAAACACACGAAGAGACAGCAAAACAAATTCTGTTCAATTACCTTAAAGACGGGTGAGTTATCTTGACTTTATTTTCTTATCAGTGTATTTTTTGGTTTTATTTCCTAACACTGATAATAAAAAGGAAAATGTTGATGTCTTAATCATTCCCTTTTAGTTGAATCATGATCTGAGTATGTTGTTTACTCTGAATCAAACATCTTGCTCCATAAAGCAATGCATTAAGAAGGACCATACTGTTCTGTGCTTTTTATCATAGCTGGACTGTTTGTGATAAAAGTTAAGGAATGTGCTCCTCTTACCCTCCCATCCCGGCTGTGAGAGATCCAGCCGTCTCAAGTTTGTTTTCTAACAGAATCCCTCTTTTTCTGTTGCTTTCTCTTTGCCTCAGTGTGAAAACATTTCAGTTTGCTTTTGTAATCAGACACTTACTGCCTCTCAAGAAAAGGCATGTTGGTTTAAAAGCCTAATTTCAGTGCAGGTTTTACAGGAGCCAAATATGATGGCTTATGCATTCTTTAAAGTCTTTAAACTTATGGTAGAAAATCACTGTCAAGAATCATTATTTGAGACAATGAAAGTGAGAAAGAAGTACCAGTTGAACTTCACTCTGCAGCAAATCTGTTAGTTGTGCATTGATTTACAGTTTGAAACATGTGCTACAGTCTTGTGATAGTGTGGAAAGGGAGCAGGAAGCTGTTTGGGTGTGTCGGGCCACAGGTCAGGAGTCACAGGACAAAGGAAAGGAAACACAGATGGAAGTGCTGGAGCTGAAACTGAGCTACATTCCCAAGGCCTCGGAAGACAAACATTCACTAACAGGGGTTATAAAAGTTTAATGAAAATCATCTGTATGAGGAGAGGAGAGGTTCGGGATGGGGGTTGGCTTTCCCGTGTCAGCCTTGTCAATTATTGAAGTAATATATATCACTGCTGTCATGTGAAAGGGTGTGATTCCAGTTTTGTGGTTTCTGATGTTTTCACTCTAACGGAAGGATTAATAGTCATTGTGTGGATCGAGGAAATCCTCCATCTCTGGGCTTTCAAACGGCTGGCGATACACTTAGAAATGCTCGGTGTTTAAAGCTTGAGACAAAGCTGCTTTTCTTAAGTTGTTTTTTTAGGTTTAGTACGGTTTTCACTGACCAGAACAAGAATCAGTATATTTTAAAAACAACAGGAAATTAACCAGTCACCATGTCACCAGAGAGAAAAAGCTAAATGGTGTTTTGTTTCAGTAATAAATAATATGAACTGAAATAATACTTCAATGTAAATGTTAACTATTATATCATTTATATGATCTTATTAGAATGCATTTAAAAAAACATTAGTAACGGTGATTTGACTTAACCCATGGTGACTGAAACAATTTATCTCTGGTTCCTAATATTTAGGTAACAAAAACTACGGAAAGGTAAACTTCCATAATACTGCCCATGCGTTTGATTCTTCCGCCTATTTGCCCCTTAGTTTATTAGATGTGTGTAATTAAGCTGTTTGTGCTGTGAGGGGAAACATCAAAGCACCTTGATCCTTTCTGACCCTTTCTAAGCTGGGAATAATTTACTCTGTTCCCAGAACACTTTGAATTAATTCTTGATCCTCAAAACACTGAGGAAAGTTGAGTTTGTATACCTTTATTAACCAGAGTGTTAACCTACTTGTCTTTGTGTGTGTGTCTGCAGCAGCGTGGATAATGATGAAACGACGAAGAGAAAGGTCAATCTCGTCTTTGAGAAGATTCAGACGTTGAAGTCTCGAGCCACAGCGAGCGCACAAAGCGACAACAAAGTGAGACGTTGTTATTTGTCGTGGTGCATCACTAATAATTAAAGGGCCCATGACAAGTCTTCTCTGCATTCTTTACATACCCATATTTCTAAATTGAGATCGTAAACTTAAAGTTGTATTTATAGTTTTAAATTCATGCTTTAAGCTTTATAGTAAATGGTGTTCAAGTGGTTGATACATGCAAACAGGAATTAAATACTACCTTAACATCCAGTTGTGATCTTAAAGCGATTTTATGGGATCTTTTAAAACTGTGTGCATATTATCTTTGCTTTGGCACTCAGGCTGTTTTGCATAGGACACGCAATCAGCCATTGCTAAATACATGAGTTTTAATGCCAAACCTAAACATTCAGTTTGTTTCTATACCTAATGGATCAATAATAAATAAAAAACTCTCTTCTTTCTGTCAGTCTCCAGATTTTTCTGCACAGACAAAAGCTCTGCTGGAGCAAAACGAGGGGCTGGGTAAACAACTGAGCGAACTGAAGAGAAAACTTGAGGACCAAACGACGGTGAGAACAGTTTAACTGCAAATGGGCCTGTTTATTTTGACATTTGGCTTTATGGCTTTATTGTTGTTTGAGTATAATATCCTTTAATCAAGGGTTTTAATGAAACATTTAAGGGATTACTGTTCAACTTGTTTAATGTAAAGAGATATTGTTGGACTACTGGGTGGATGTAGAATTTACTAAGCTTTTCACAAAGGCACTTGGAAAACTGTTAATTCTGTAATGAGAGGGTGTTTCAGTGGGTATTCAAAACACTGTTGTTTATTTTGCATTACTGTATTAGTTAAACAATTGAAACGTTCACAAATAGAGTATCTTTTCAGGTAAATAATTACAAGTGCACATTTTATGCACTATTTTTCTATATAATTGATGAAAAATGACCATGTCTTTATGCTTTTATCAAGCAGATTGAAACTCAATTCATTCCAAAGGCTAATAGCTTGGTGCAGACAACGCTTGTATCTAGACCAACATTAAAATGTCAACATCAATATTTATGTGTTTTACCAACAGAAGAATCAGGCTGACAAGAGGACGGTAGCAGATTTGAAGGAGCTGCAGCGGAAGCTGGAGCGGAGTGAAGAAGAGTGCAAGCGCCTGAAGGAAAAACTCTCCAAAACAGAGTTGGAGCTGCAGAACACAGTGGAAGAGTAAGTGACAACTCTGGAGAATGATAACGGTAACACAGTGATCAGCACAGATTCATCTAGCATGGCTGTATTTAGCAATTACAGAATGTCGTGTTGACCATGTCATTTGTCATTGCCAGTATTTTTTACTTAAAATTAGCTAAACATGTTTGGCTTGGAAGCAAAACACCCAAGTTCATCTCCCATCACTGGTCTGCTCATCTTGCTATTGTGCTCCAGTTAAACGATTGGCAGGGTTTCTGGTGGGAAGCTGGTGAGGGATCATGGTCGTTTCATTGTTCCCTGCTGTTCTGTTGAGGAGCCTGCAGAGAGGGAAGCAGGAACATCTGCTCTCAAGACCCTCCTAGTTAGGTTCCATGTTGGCATCTCTAAAGAAGCTGTTTATCAGATGAACTAGGGCTGCTCAATTAATCGTATTTTAATCGCGATTACGATTATGGTTGGCAACGATTACGAAAACAACGTAATCGAAATAAAACGTTTATTTTTTTATTATTACTTTATTTATTTTTTTAAATAATTTTTTTTGTTTTTGTTTTTCAGTTGAATTATACTTAAAGTTCAGGGTAATCAACTGTTAAAAACATACTGTTAAAAAAAAAAAATCTCCAATAAATAGTCAATGAATTTAATAATCGCAATTACAATTATTGACCCAAATAATCAAGATTATGATTTTTGCCATAATCAAGCAGCCCTAAGATGAACCATGCCTTTTTTAACATTTTTATTTTTGATATAACAGTAATAATAAATACATTTACCATGGCGTGTTATTTATCGGCTGTTGCTTTGCACTTAAATCTGTTTGAATTGTATATGTTTCTGTTCTGTCACTCTGAAAGAAGTGTAGGGTGTCTGTTGGTGCAACCAGTCAGACTGTTGATGGTTACCATGTCAATTTCTTTGTCTTATTAAACAGCGTATTTTGTCTCCCCTGGTTTATCTTTCAACCTGCAAATTAATGCGTGCTTGGTGACTGATTTACTTTCAACTGGTCAGCTCCCTTTACATATTAAACAAATGGTATTTCACGTCGTAGTCTGAAGTCCTGAGTGTTGTTACTATCTTGCTGTTCTCAAGGTTTTGGATAGAAATAGTAGGAACATTCCTTGTTTGAGCTAAGGTATGTTTTATATGTTTTTTTCTTCTGGATTTTCCAAACAATTTAATGTTTAATATCGTTTTCTTTTGGGCCTTTTTATTGTAAATCATTTTCTATTTCTGAAATCAAGATCGTTCACTTATCAAACTTTTATTTGAAGTTTGTTTTTCCTTTGATTATCATTTCTAGTTGTAGCTTTTTATTTTTCAGTACGAATGGCCCAAAACACCCTTTAGCATTTTATTTTACAGAAGAAATAGATGCTTCAGTCCACATCATTGTGGGGCGATTTGTCCGAGGGGCCTCACATCACTTAACACCCTCCCCCGTGGTGTTGTCGTGTCGAGGCAGTTTAGACATTATTGGTTTGCCATCGTTCAGATATTCGTTTAAACCCCTGTGCTCTGTAGGCCTCACACTAAGACCCCGCACAGGTGCTGTCATGTGTATGTGCGAATTGCAGTGCAGGTGTGCAATGTGTATGTGCATGTACTTCACAGTATGCAGAGTGGCTGTACTCTGTTGTGACATGTTGTGTGATTTTTGTCAGGCTGTTCCAGGTGAAGATGGAGCGGGAGCAGCACCAGACGGAGATCAGAGACCTGCAGGACCAGCTGTCAGAAATGCACGACGAGCTCGACTCAGCCAAGAAGTCCGACGCAGATGGAGAGAAAGACATCATTATGGAGGTAATACTGTGTTCATTGTTCTAGAGAAGAATACTTTTTTTGCTGAGAGCTTGTAGAATCTGTAGCTGATTGACATTACCAAAACCACCATTAAAGATAAAAGCTTTCTGCTCTGCTGCTTGAATATTAAAACCACATACATAAACAATACTCTAAAATGTTGCTTTGGAGTGAGGTAACATTAAGTTGCTGCTTACTTAAAAGATTATACTCCAATGCAACCAGTGATGAGACCAGCCTTTCTGGTAAATAGATGATTTGTTGCATCCTGTACTACAAGTATTGATATTGTTTGTCACACTGACATATCACAGAAAGAAGTTTACTTTGTTTAACATTTCCAGTTAACAATGGAAACTGCAAATGGTGATAGCTTTATCTGAAAGACCTCTCTCTGGAGATGCTACAAAATAAACTATCCAAGGTCAAATCATGATGAATACAATTGTGAAACCCTGTATCAAAATGTACTTGATTTCTATTACTGAATATGTTTAAATTGTCCCCATCCTGTCCTGTTTTAAGCTACTTCTGATCTATAAACAGAGGTGGTTGCTGTGAGAAGTATCTGTATAACCAAAGGCAAGAGCAAAATGAAGAGTCACGGTCAAACTAGTCGGTCTGATTCTGCAAATTCTTTAGAGATAAAAAAGTAACCAAACTGTCTTCCTTTCCCATAGGACATGATGCAACTGAAGGTGGATATACAGGAGGTTCTTATGCTCAAGGAGGATCAGGAGGAGGTGCTGAGGAGGCGAGAGAGGGAGCTGACGGCCCTGAAAGGGGCCCTGAAGGAGGAAGTGGCCGCTCATGACCAGGAAGTGGACAAGATGAAGGAGCAGTATGAGAAGGAATTAACCCGGCTCCAGGTGTCTTTGGTGGAGGCCAAGCAGGTATTCAGCCTAACGTTTGTCCCCCCCCCCACTGCACTGCTCCACTCTGTGTTCCCTCCTCCTCATTTCCTTCTCGCCCTCCCCCACTCCAGAAACACACCCTGTCACAGAGGAATGGGAGATAAGCAGCCCATCAGGGGAGCTGTAACTCTGTGTGTGTGTTGCATTGCGTGTTAGGCCATATGTTCATCATCAGAGGTTAGGGCGCTGCTTTGATGTAACGTTATTTACATCGTACATCTGTGGCGCTGCGTGTGATAATACTGAGACGCTGGTTTTAAAACAGGCAGGATAGACTATGTCCAAAATCTGCTCGGCACTTTAAATTACTATCTCTGTATTCCTCCGGAAACGATTTACAAAAGTAACAGGAAACGTAGGGGAACAAACATTTTGAATTCAAGAGGTGGACTTTTTATTCTACCATGCAACAACATGTTTTTATATTATACAACAATAATATTGTCACCCAACAACATATTTTCACAGACCTGCTCATGGCATTATACTCTTCAGTCTCCTTGGGTGAATGATAGTTTCTCATGTACCACTCTAGCCTCACGGACAAGAACATGAAAGACAAGTTTGCAGTTGACTTTTCCATATTTACAGAGTTCCTCCTCCATTTCTGTGAACCCTATAAAATCCAGTTGTACTTTCTACATTTGTAGATTTCACAATGCGATAAGCAGATGTTTTTGTCCATATCTGCTGTGTTAGTCATACATCAGTAATTCCATGATATGTTTTTGCGAGCTTGAACTGAAACGCTGATAAAGAGCTTAAACATTGACGTTTTTAATGTTGATGTAATCACATTGCATAAACAAAGTCGTTTCAACACACGGATCAGCATGATGTTCACCTATAGCAGCGAGAAGCTGAACCATTTCTTCTAGTGACACAGTTGGAAAAAAGGCTCCGCATACTTGTACTTTGTTTAATCTAACTGATAAAAAAAGGAACACAAAACACTAAGTAACTGTTACATGTAGTTTGTCATCATTTTTATGGGAAGTGTCTTTCACCAGTGAGCTGTGGGGGGGCTTCCTTATCTCAGCTTGTTTTTCTCGAAAGGAACATTTGACAGGAATAATGATGTTTGATCATATTATTTAGAGACAGTTATCTGTACATGACATTTTTAGGAGATGTCTCACTGGCAGGGTCCCTCTTGTTTCTAGGGTTAGGGTTAATCAGTGATGTACCAGCCAATAATACGAAAGAAGTCTATAATCCTCAGAGCACAGAGAGTTGGTCAACTGTCTCAAACATGGAGGAACACGGTGAGATGAGCAGCATGGCAGGAGACTGAAAGACTGACGACACATTGTTTTCAGTGGAGTCGCTGTGTGACTCACGTGTGTCCTGTTTGTCTCAAAGTGTGGAAGTTGTCCTTGTGTTGGGCTTCCTGTAGGCCTGGTGGGGGTCCACAGCAGCGCTCTGCAGAAACACTCTGAGAACATTTCCTTTTGTTGAACAGAGGTACTGCTCCCCCGAGGGAGTCTGTCATCAGGGGTTTACCCTCAGTGCTTTGTAAACACTTGGAAAGATGAAGTAATTGTTTGTTTTTCCTTTTAAGATCTAAAAATGTCCTCACTCGTTTGAGCCTTTGATTCATGTCCTTGAATTATGGCTCAGTCCTTAGTTGAGACCTTGTGAAGCATTTGGACATTATGCTTATTAATTATAATGCTGGAACTTTAACTGAAATTCCTCCATACAGTGGCACATTTATGTTTTTCATACACATGTATTTATGGTTGGGCAATCTTCAAACTGATGATTAAATCTGACAGGTCGGCATTTAAAAGGCAAACATTAAATCACTTAAATCTGCAAAATCAGCATATGTACAAAATACAGTGGGATTGGCTCCAATCCCCTAATAAATCTTGCTGAACGTCCCAAAGAAAACCCAAAGCCTTTTGAAGTTCAAATGGTCACAGCATGCGACCAGCAGTCTGAGCTACAGGTTATGGTAAGAAAGACATTAAAAGGAAAGTAGTTTATTATCCCATATACGCTTCTACTTTAAATAAGGGGTCAGACAGAGGGTAAAAAGGTTCTTTACATATGGTTTTATTTGTGTGCCCCATCTCCAACCAAAGTGCTGCTCTCTGCTTTGAGTGGACCTGTCTGGGTCGTCCAGAGCGGCCCATGTGAAGCAGAATGCTGGAAACTGGAGCACCGAGCGGCTCTGTTTAGTTCTTTGCATCAGCAAGGCATCACTAATCTAATGAGTTCCTGAGTTGCGTCGTGTCCCCTCTTCTCTCTGTGCCCTGAAAGAGTGGGGGTAATTGCGGACCTCAGTCGATAATGAATGATGAGTTTGTTTCACACAATAATAGCAGCGGGGGTTGGGACATGCTGAATAAGTGGGTCAGTGTGCTGTAGAGAAGGGGATGCGTGGCTGACCCCCTGAAAGGAGCGGGGGCACTGTTTTGTGTCTTAAATTGAAAGCTGCATTGTGTTCTCAATGAGCTGAAATCTGTGGAATGTCATCTAGGTTGAAATATGGTGGTCATAAAAAGATAAGGATTTGCTTATTTTAAGTATTACTTACCTTCTTAACACCCTGCAAAAAAAGACGTCTGCACATTTGGAAGTTCATTTGATCTCTCATCAGCATGTGCTGGTATGCAAAACATGTGCAAAGATGAAGTGCGGTGGTAGAGAGAAGGGTCTGTTTCCAGGAATGTGGGGGTCAAAGTGGGGAATGTGCTCCCTGCAGACCTCCTTCTTCACTCAGCTCCAGATCGGTTACAGTGCACCCGCTCCGAACTGCGGGAGGTGCTCGGATCTTTTCTCTTATGTCTCCTCAGGGTGCTGCCTTGCATCTCCATCTCAGTGTCCGAGGCTTTAATAGGTCTCAGCTGCACTCTCCCCTCCTGACTGTAAAGACAGAGCTGTGTGCTTATCACACTATTTTCAGCTCTTGTCATGTTTCACCTACAGCCCTGAGCCACAGTGTGTAACACAACCACATTATTATCACACTGTCATCTGTAACCCCAATCCCAAATGCTGCATTTTTTTCATTTCCTAGCTCCACAGTTTCCACACGAGACTCCGCAGTGATCTCCCGCTCACCTAAACGCAGCTCATTTTCTGGCCCGTGCTATTCTCGCCCGTACCTCAGCCTGCTTCTCCACTAATCTCTAGCAATGTGTGAGCTGAAGTCTCACGGTCTGATCATCAAACTTAGGTGGCCCCGGGAAGAGTTCCCCCTCAGGCTTGTTTTGAAAGTAAAGACTCCCGCATCTGTCTGTGTGTTTGATGATAGCACTACATTTCCCAGCGTAGCTTTAGGAGCTGATTTAGCAGGCGACTGGAGAGGAGGAAGGAGACGCTGGGCAGCGAGTGAGAGAGGAACTGATGGAGAGTTTCTGGATCTTGACAGACAGCAAGAAATGTGCGGTTCATCCTGGTTGGTCTTTAAAGAGCTTTAATGATAACTTTATAGATTGATGACAATATAGACCCTAAAAAAGATAAATGCAGCAGGAGTTCTGTCACAAAAGGTTTTCTGCACGACATATAAGGGTCACGTCCGCCTGAAACCCGGCAGTGGCTGGATTTGAGTGTTTGTTGTTCCTCTATCTGTGAGCGCTGATGTTGTGGTAGCCTAATCTGCCAAAACAACTTTCCAGAGTTAAGTTAAATACGCATTTTCCATAGAGATTACCAAGACCAAGGTTACAATCTTGAGTTAGCATTTGTCAAGCAGAACTTAAAAAGGCAGACTGTGTGCTTTCTTGTAAAGTTGTAGGCAAAGGTTCTATTATGTTGTGAATTTTGATGTTCCTCTTTCGTAAGATTCACATGACCATGAATCAATGCATCAGAATCTGGCAGCCTTTTCAATTACATTTTGACCTTGTATTTGTAACTATGCTGGCTGAGCTGTTCAGAGAATACATTTAGACTTCACTGTAAATGTGCTGAGATATCCATGTTTGAGTTTTTAGTCTCCACATTTGAACTGCTCTGTGGGATGTGGATTTTTGGGCGTTATTTTTCTTGCTCACAAGTGTATTCAAACTTTGTATTTTTGGCCTTTGGCCTGGAAAACTGGAATAGGAGTTTTGTCCCCTCTTTGTCTTTCTTCTGAGAGTTTACCAAGCCTTTGATTGAGTTTTAGCCAGGAAGTTGACTCATGATTTAGTCAGTTGAGAGTCACATGCAGCATTCTTATATTTTGATGAATTGTTGGTAATTAGGAGGTGCTATATCTACATTTGTCCTGCCTTCACATTGGATGATCTCCATTTAAAGTTATAAATATTAAGAAACCCCAAAGTAGTAAGAATGAGTTCACAGACCTACTTTTAATGAAATCTGGTCCCAGGAAAATCAACAAACAAATGATTGCTTTTAGATGTTATACAGACTTTGTGACAGGACAGGAGCACTGGGTGACTGTAGTGATTAATGCCCAGGCAGTAAAAAAATAATTTATAAAACATGAATATTTCTTTTTCTTGGCAGCCACGAGATCACACCAATTGTTTTAGTCTTGCAAGCTAGATAAACTGTGCTGAAGGCTCTTAGAGCATCTGCATAGTCACAATCTCACTATAATGCCCCGTTATATCCAAACACCCCTGCAAGCTGGCACTTTGGCTTTGCACTGAGAATCTTATAAAAGCCGGTTTATGTTTCCATTTCTCTGAGGAGAAGACGAGATTTGATTACCCTCCTCCTTTGACCAAAGACATGCCGATGCTTTTCAGCTGTCACATTTTAATTTCGACTTCAATCCTTCCTTTCAGTCCATGACAGACCTTCTGTTCCAGTTAACCTCAGGCTGGGTACCTTCTGAAATTAGGAATGCCTTTTTATTTGTAACACACACTTTGTGCTGGCAAAGTAAATCAAGGCTCTCACACTGCCAAGTAACTTTTTTTCTTCTCCTGATATGAGGGTTCAGATAATGTGATACCATACAGGACATGACCTTTGCTTTAACTTCTTTCTGTCAAAGGCAAACAAGTCAGCGAGTCAACGAGGCTACATCACTTTAGCTGTCAAAAAGCTCAAACCAACGATAAGGAAAAACCGGATTGGTGACATTTTTATTTCCAGCCACTAACACAGTAAGCAGCTGAGTTTCCAATAAACACACAAGTTCATGTCTATAACACTCGCAGGAATGCTGGTCTGAGAGTTAAAATGTGCACTTTAGACTTCCATGCAAATGTTGCTCTAACTTCTTCGCTTATACTGAAGTTCTCATTTAAAAACATTTGTTTCATTGAGAAGACGGCTTTAAAAAAAGTCTGATGATTGCTCAAGTTTTGTCCTTTACAACTTTAATTAGTAACATCTTCATAGCAGGCTCATGAATGATGTAAGATGTATGACTTTATATTGGAGTCTATAGATGACTGTGCAGAGAAGTCAGGTGGATGTTAGGAGGTTATTTGTTTTGCAACTAAAAAGTGATATCTTACGGTTTTGGGTGCTCAGAAGGAAATAAGGAAAGGATAAAAAGGAGGAATTTCCCCTATAGTAAAACTGAAAGAGAAATGTAAGACTGATATCTTCCTCCTGAAATCCTTCCAAGAGATTCCTTTAGTACCAGCCAATCAATTTCCTAGTATTGCTGTGAGCCCCCTTTTGTAATGCATTCACAGTTAGTGTGTTTTTGCAGCTGCGTTACCTCTTGAAACGTATTATTGCACTGCATGTTATGTTGTGTGTGATTCTGTTGGGTTTTGTGTAACAAATGTTTTTGCAGTTTGCCAGATGGTGGACTGGGGGAAAACATATGGAAACATGTTTGTGTTCAAAAAAGAAAACAAAGCACAGGGAGAGCAACATCAGGAATGGGGAGGGGAGAGAAATGACAACATGTTGGCAGCTGGCTTTGTGGGAAATGTCCTCATAGGGAGAAAGCTTTACACAGATTCTGAATTATATTGACCGAAAGGTCTCAGAGTTACAAATGAACTTGGTTACTTGTAGTTAAAATATTTATTTGAAAGTGTATGTGCAGTATTGTGAGGTTTACCTGATAAAAACATTTATCTTGCAGGGATCTTGCATGGAAATTGTAGAAAACAACCTGCACTCTTTTGGTTGTAGATTTCTGTTGCTGGTTCATGCTGCTATATTTATCTTTAGATCATCAGCTCTTTTGCTACGCTGTAAGCTTAATTGGCGTGAATAACTGAGAGAGCCAAGATTTCACCACAGCACACGACCTGAGACAAATACTTCACCTCAGAACTTGTGGCGTGCTTCAAAGACTTTACACAGTTAGTTAATGTACAACTTTATACAAACAGTTTGAGTAAACAAAAGAGACCAAGTCAAACTTTGAGTCATGGTAGAAGGGTTAAAAAAGGACTAGGAATGATATTGCCACATATTGTGTCTGATGATATGTGTTAATACACTAAAGTCAGCCTGTGTTGTCCGGTTCCTTTTGTTTACTTTGTGTTTAATAAGGGGATAAATCATTGTATGAAATGGACAAATCATAGTCTAATAGCTGATACACTGATTGTTTTGTTAGTATAGTGTCTTCAGTGTTTGTTTAATCATCTTTAATAATGCTTTCACACTTTTTAATAAATGATTTACTTTTGTAAAAGAGGTTAACGTCACTGCATCCCTTCCACTTCCTGTCACAGGCAGGGTCTTTTTTCTGCCTGAGTGCTTTTGCCTATGTTTTTAACTGGTATGACCCAGTGTGGGAAATGGGACATACACAACTTATTGTGTGTGTTATTAAAACAGCGCACTGACACACACTGTCAATGCTTTTATTATTGTAGTGAAAGCTGTGTTTAGCCTTGCATCCCGCCCAGCCCCTCCGGCAATCAACACTTTGATATGTGAGTTTTCAAGGCAACAGGAGGAAGCTGCTACAACCCAACGTAACACAAGAGACCCGGTTGTTTTGGCGCTAAATGCATTAGAAGCCTACAAATGTATTTCCTCAGTCAATTGACAGTTTATGAGGGTATACCAAGCTGTGACTTCTTGGAGTTTGATATTAATACTTCTACATGAAAATTATAATATTTTGTTGTAAAAACAGTTTTAAAGATGTTGATTCAACTTGATGGATATTGGAGACTGTAACTTGTGGTGCCAAGTATTGTACTGCAGTATACAGAGGTTGTTTCTGATATTTACAGCCTCCTTTTATAGTTGCCAAAGAGTCTCATAATAAATGTCTGCTATTTGTTGTCCACAACATTTCAATGTATTGCCTAATATTTAAGCTGAGAAGTGTTTTTTTCTGTGGATTTGGCTGAATTTGGTCTGTTCAGGCCTCCTTAACCAAACTAAATGACCCAGTCAGGCAGTGATGAGGGCGGCTCTGGAGAGACAGGGGAAACAGGTCTGACTGGCCCTCTACCACTGAAGCAGGGAGGCACCCGTCAGCTGTCTGAAGGAAGAGCCTATATTCAAGCACAATGACGTCAAGATGAGCTGTTCTATGAGTGCCTTTCAGTTTTTGCATTTGTAAATAAGTTACAGCCTTCACATTCTCCTCAAAATGCCCAGTGAAACTCACTACACTATGATAGCTTACTAAACATGTTTTCCTGCTGAAGTTAAAATCTAATGGTCTATGGTCAAGTGTCAGGATTTCTTCTTCCTGCTGAATGCTATGTAAATTATCAGGATAGTGTGTGCTGGACTGCATTTCAAACAGGTACTTATCAGGAACAAGAAACCAGCTTTTAGTTCCAAGCTTTGTTGGCAAAGAAAAATGCATCGAGACAGTTTGTCACCAGCTGGATTACAACTCTGGCATGTGTGTGTGCTTTCAGGCTTTTGTGCACATACACACGTGCTGTTAAAGTATTTCGCTGTCAGAGAGAGTAACCTGCCTTTGCAGTAAGGCAGCATTACCTTTATTTACCCGTTGACCAATTTTCATACCTTGAGCCTTTATTTGGCACGTCTCCTATAGTGCAGACATTCCTCACCATACTTTTAAAGAGAATAGCCAAACCAGTGCCAAAGAAAATATTGTCAAAATAGAATGTTGCAAGTCTTTTGTGTACCAATGCTGTTCTTAACAAAAAAAGTATGTCATCACAACTGAAACTTGTTATCTGTCATGCTGATCGAGTCGTGTGATTGCTGTCAGTTTTCTTTGTGTCTTGTCTCCAGTTGCACAGACATGTATTTCCGGCTGTCTCCCGCTCTTTCTCTGCTGCACAACACTTCACCCTGAAATGTCAAAGCCAAGGCTTACTGTTCAGTCATAAATGTTGGCACAGGAGAGTCTGTATTAACTCTGCCACTGCATGCATGCGCCACAATTCTAATCTAAATAGCCATCTAACAGCGGTATTTCAGGTTGAAAAACTAAGAATGTGGTGACATAGGAGACGAGCAGGTCGGCCTTGCTAGCCTTCAATCAGCAGAGCAAATGAAAGCTCAGATTTAGTTTCCTTCATTTGTGCTTCATGATGAATTGTGAGAGAATTACAGGAGCACATTGTTATTCTGTCTCCACACATACAAAGATTCAGTGAGAAACTGAGCTCTTCAGCAGCTTTTTGGTGCGCGAGGCGTTTGAGAGAGTCTCAAAGGTTCCACCGTGCATCGTTGTTCCACTTTCTGTTGAGTGTCACAGACTCCTGCTTCCTTTGTACTGAGGCCTCGTGTCTCACTGTGATCTGCAGAGCAGCGCAGCAGTGGTCCGTGAGAAGGCTGAAGTGGAGGCAGCCAAGGGTGCAGTGGAGGGCCAAGCAGGGCGGCTGAACCAAGAGGCCGACCGGCTGCGCAGGCGGGCTCAGGAGCTGGAGAACGAGGTGGCCAAACTCAACCGCATCATCGATGAGGCCAAGCTGCAGGAGAGCAGGACGGGGGACAGAGCTGGAAGACTGGAGGTGAGGGTCAAGAAGCACGGAGAGGCAGCCGCTCACAGGACTGCTGCTAGTTTTATTACTTTGCTGATCTAGCTCCACACTGCCCCCGAAGCATACTAAACTATCTGCAATAGGCCTGCAAGACAGAGAATATTATACAACGTGCAATAGTATTGAATATCAGCTATATCATTTGACAGTTGATAAATATTTATCAAAAGGTAATCAGCTCTGACTTTCTACTGATTTCTACTGCCTTCAGTAATAAAATACAAAAGATTACTCGTTGAATTTAAATTGTTTTAATTAAATCCAACTATTTTATTGTAGAATTTGAATAAGGAATTTACCAAAAAGGATGAAGGATATATTCTAAAATGCCATTTTCTAGTGATATCCTTGCCGCTTACTCAAAAAGTCCCAGAACACAATATCACTGTCTCATCATGCAAGTTGATAGTATATAACTAAAATCTTATATATTGTCCAGCCATAATATGAGAGTCTTACATGCCACCATATCTTCTTAACAGAGAGAAAAAAAGCTGTTGGAAGAATCTTTGGCTGAAATCAAGGAGCAAGAAGAGGAGATGTCTCGTGCCAATCGAGCGTTGACCATGCGGTTGGAGGAAGTGCAGGTGAGATAATTAACACTGTGCTGCTGTACGCTTCGTGTAGAGTCACAGTTTTACATGTTTATTAATGTGTCCTTCTTCAGAGGATCTTTTCAAAACTGAGCGCTGAACACAAGGACCTGGAGGAGATGTTACAAGAAGAGAAGATTCAGAAGGAGCAGTTCAAGAACATGAAGAACGGCATGGAGGACGAGAGGAGGCTGCTGGACCGCACAGTGGAGAAACTTCAAAAGGAGGTGAGTGCACTTGAGTTCAGTTCAGTGAAACATTCATCCCAGCTAAGCAGGCCACGCATGAGTAGAGGTGGTCTCAGTCAGATGGAAGATCGGTTCATTCATTCATCTTTAAGTCTAATGAAAAGAGTTGAGTAGGTCTTACATAATGAGTTATTCATACAATGCAGAGGCTAAGTGCTCCTTCAGGTCATGCAGTCTGCTCAGGGAACCTTGTTTTGCTCTTGAAGATGAAAAATAAAACTGGCCACAGAACAACAACTGTTCTTCGGGCTCTCTTTCAGAGCTATCAAGTTTAATTTAACCAGAAATGGTTTGAAATGCCAGCTGCTCTTGACCTCACAGGCTCAATTAGGAAATAGTAGTGCCTGAAGAAAAAAGTGTTTTCTCGGACTAGTGAAGTATTTCACTTTTGTTTGTTTGAATTAAGGGATTGTGAAGGATTCCCTTAGGAATATGGATGTAATGTTTTTTTCCCCCTTTTTTCTCTTTTGCCCTGTGCTCTTCCTCTCTCTGCCTGCAGATGAATGACATTGTGGACGCCTCCCAGTCGTCCACTGTGGAGCTCCAGGAACAGATTAATATTTATAAGGACAACAACCGTCGGGAGCTGGCTGATCTGCAGAAGCTTCTGAAGGAGCGGGGACATGAGCTGGAAAAGTGCCTGCTGACGACCAAAACCCTGGAAGAAGAGGTACAGTCAGCTACGTCAACCTCACCTACCGTAGGAGAGGAGTCACAGATTTTAGCGCTGACGCAGCTGTCTCGGTCAGAGCGGTCAAACACAGGCCATCATTAGTCAGCCCTCCCATGCAGAACAGCCATTGTTTTCACTCAGCCAGTTTTACCACTCCTGCCTAAATCCTCCTTTCCTCTCAGAATGCGATGTCATCACTTAGGTATTTCTGCTCCCTTCTGTCCTCTCAAACTCAAAACATAGTATTAAAGTGAAGTAGTTGAGCCGAGTAAAGCTGTAGAAAAGCTCTGTTCTTTATTAAAATTATTGTTTACACTCAGAAAAAAAATTAAAAGGGATATGTGGAAAATTCCTCTATTACTTTGTGTGGCTACAGCAAAATAATGTGGAGACTTAACAACCTGTGGTCGCACTGCATTGTTTGCTATCAAGCAATTAATCCATGTCAGCACATAAGAATGTGAGGAATGTTTTTGTGGACAGATGAATGAGAATAATTTATTTTAGAAAAAGGGGGGCTTTTGTTTAATGTATTTATCAAACAGTTTTTTTACTAGGCAGGGCAGTCGAGATTTGTACAGTGACCACACAGCGACAGTTTTGTAGTTCAGGAAAAACGGATCAGGATATTGAGAGATGTATGTGGTTAAAGGAACATTGGGACATCAAGATCACTGGTCATATGGGAGCTATATGGTCTGTGATTAAGTGTCATGATGTTCTTACTTCCCTGTAACAATGAGGCAGTAAATAAAACATCCTGATTTCTTCTTTAGAGGTGTTTTTTGCTTTTCTGTAGATGATGATTGTCTTTTTTTTAGGTAGGAAAAGCATTCAGGATCTTTGTTGTGCCTTAAAGTATACACTCAATGTACCCTAACTTATCATGTAAACAAAACTCAAAAGTCTGTTTTTTAAAAGGTAACTCCAATGGGTACCTTTTTTTCCTGTCTCGAACATATATGCCCTGATTCTAAACTTTCTAGCTAAGAAAAAGAAGAGCATTGACATTTGATCTATAGGAGGAAGAGTCTATTGGAAACTGTCCTTACTTTCAGCATTTTGTGAGGACATGGTCAGCATCCTCTTTTTCCTGTCTGCATCCACACTGATGTGTCTTTGTCCAGCTGGTGCACAGGAAGAGGAGGATGGTGTGATATCATTGTTGTTAAAGCTGCACTGGCAGGATTCACATCCTCCTCCGCCTCTCCTGAGAAACTGAATCAGGACCTAGTGAGTCCACTTTTCCAGCTGCTCTCGATTGTCCAACCACACCCATGTTAACTTGGCAGTGTATTGCTCAAAGTAACAAGTCCAGGCCAAATGTATGTCTTTTCTTTAAAAGTCTTTATTTTCAAGAAAGACCCTTCCAAGAAAGCCGAATAAAAGCATCAGGAAGACATATCTGGTTCCACTTCCTAGATCTGCCTTATTAATTTATTACTACAGTAATGTATTAATTTCTTAATGTTGTATTGCTTTTCAGGGACTGAGAGAGGATGCACAATTATCCAATTACACATTTGACCAAGTCTTTGTATGCTCTGCTCCAGCTCCATGTCTTAAATGTGGTCTTACTTAAGTATTTACATGATGAAATGCAGAGTAATTCTGCACTAATGGCACAATATTTGTTCTAGTTCAGACATAAGGGGAAATTATAAATGATCATTGTCTTAATATAAAGCAATTGGAGCAATTTTCCAGCTGTGGGGGGCACCACTACTGAATAAATGCATTGTGAACTAGCTGCACTGGGTTCATTATTCACTCAGGGGTTTAATAATTTCCATTAGCTGCAACTTAATTGTTGGTCCTTGCTATAGAGGTGATATTTAAGATACTTAGGCAACTTAAGATAAGGAGCCAGATGATGAATCGAACCATGCCTAGTGTCATTAAATGAGACCCTGAACCCCCTATTAGACAATATATAATAGATGTGTTTTTTATAAATTACAATAACATGTTTTAGCAATGAGCATTTCTTTATAAAATGTAAAGTAAGTAAAGATATAGCACTTTTTAAAACACAGTTAAAAAGTACTTCACACACACAAATATACAAAATTCCAATAAATTTATGAAAATAATACGTATGTCAATGTATTTTATTTTAGTTGTCGCACCGGGAGGAGGACCTGCGGCAGTGTCGGAGGGAGCGGGACGAGGCCGAGCTCAAGCAGTCGACGCTGGAGAAAAAGGTTCATGATCTGGAGACGGAGGCTGAGGCAAAGACCCACGTTAAAGACGATAAAACTCGACAAATGAAACTCATGGAGGTACATAATGATGACAAATAAAGCATCTAAAAAAGGTTTGCGGTGGAGATCATTGCAAAAGGCCTTTCTCTAACCCCTCAATAGATCTCAGTTGTCAAGGATAATTTATACAAAGCAGATCAATATCAGCAGCACTACCTGACCATTTGGTGTACTGACTTTGTTCTGCAGGACAGGATCGACCAGCTGGAGTTGGACCTGAGTGAGGAGCGGCAGGGTGGAGACCAGCTGATGGACAGGATAGACCGAGGAAGAGAGCAGGTACAACACACACTCTCACACACTCAACACATTCTCATTATCAGTGCTCACCTGTGTGGATGACCTGCTGTGCAATATCCACACTACAGAATTCCAGGTTTATTTCTGGTCTAGATAAAGTGGACGCTGGGTTATTGCTGTGCTTTGTAAGGTGATCTTGCATAATCATTCAGGTTGGCGACCTGCCAGCGTGGTCTGAGAGCGCCTATCCAATTTTCATGCATCGGTCACAAAAGACCCCTCTTAATGCGCCGCTCGGGCCAAAAAATATTCAAGCTGCCAAATGTCTCAAGTTTTCAGGTTGTGGAGTTCACTCGGAAATTACGTTCAGTAACTTCATCTCGAGAACAAATCCAATTCTTGTGCTTTTAAGTCCGTTTTTTTATATCCTTCTAAAGCAAGTGCTCCACTTTTCCTTCCTCACTCATAAAGCTGTGAAGTGAGATTTAGATAAAGTACATGCATGGGCTTTTATGATTGTTGTTTTTGTAGGAGGCGACTGCCTACTAATCAGAAGGAGGATGTTGGTTCTGGAGTTTTTTTTTAAAACACTTGCATCTCCTTTATATTAAATGTGATATAAGCAGGGGTGCACATAACTTTTTTTAGTGAGTTACTCAGATGAGTACCAGGAGACAGCGTTTGGTACTCACCCCACATGAAGCGTGGTCCTCCTCAGTGTCTCATTCACTGTCCTCTATTTACACTTCTTGCATGCTAGATGATGAAGATGATGAAGATGAACCTCCCTGTCTCTTTTTAAGCCTCCGATTTGCTTTCTCCAAAACTTGTTGCCAAAACTGTGAAGTCCTTGCATTTCCTGAGGCCAAGTTGGAGGATCAAATACTAAGAAATGATCACATGACTTGAAGTCATATCTGATTTCAGATGTGGGAAGTCACTAAGTACACTTCTTCAAGTACTGTACTTAAGTACAATTTTGAGATATTTGTACTTTACTTGACTTTGATCTAATTTGTAAAATTAGCTGCACCTTTACCAGCTTTGAGAACACTTTAATGATCAATCATTACAAAACATATCATATATACCAATCTGCACAATGACTACTTTTACTTTTGGTACTTTAACTATATTTTGATGATAATACTTTTCTAATTTTACTTGAGTAACATTTTGAATGCAGGACTTTTATTGTAACAGAGTAACACTCTGGTACTTCTACTTTTACTCAAGTACAATATCTGAGTACTTCTTCCACCTCTGTCTGATTTCAAACTCTTCCATTAACACCCTGAGTAAGTTTGCAACTGTGTGTTTTACTCCACTTTGTCAAATAAAACTGCAGCAGCTTGACCACAGAGCGTGAACGTTGTGATCAGCTGATTTTGCGCAGTTCTCCAGTGTGTGCACGGGGCACAGAGTGTGCTCAGGGGAGTCTCCCACTGCAGCCAGTTGGCGGAGTTTTGGCACAATTCTGTTGTTCATACCGACGTTAACCCTGTCTGTGCACACGGCGACCAACTCTGTTGTCCGGTGATCTAAGCCTCTGCCTCCTGTAAGCTTCACAGGTCCGTCGGTTATGTCCTGCGCGGCTCGGCCAGCACCCAGTTCAGTCAGTCACAGAAAGTCCGAAGAGTTTTTGCAGGGAGCGAAACGGCAACGTAGCTGCTTAATGTCTTTGTTTTTTTTTTTACATGTCTCTTAGTTTACTCCATTGACTGTTGACAAGGAACACGTGTAGACGAAATATGTGTTTTGTTTAGATGTGTTGAGGTACGCAAAGGCGCGTAGTGACACAAGTGACGTTACGCAATTCAGATTTTTGCCGCGCATGCGCACCTGTGTACCAGTTATGTGCACCCCTGGCTATAAGATCAAAACACAGGCCTGTTAGGCTTGGCTTCAGGTTCATCTCAGTACGGGACTGAAACTAAATTAAATGTAATGCGCCTAGTGACATCAAGAGAGGCTCAGTTTGGTTGAGTAAAGTATTTAAAATCCCCTTAAATGGTTTCCTTTACTTTATAAATCCTTGGCTGGTAGCACTGGTTCAGCATGAGGCTGAGATGGGTTGTCAAGGAAACACTTCAGCTTTGTGCAGTCAGAGTGGTTGAGTGTTAGTGCTGCGTGTTTATAGTGCACACACACACACACACGCATGCGGGTACAGTATGTGCTGGTGTGTGTGCTCTGATGTCTGTGGGGAGGAGAGGGGGATGTATGGCTATGGGATGGAGGGGTGGTGGGGTTGCAGCGGAGGCAGCAGGAAGAACACCTGCGTCTCTCCTGGCACCAGGTGCTCCTCTCCTGTCTAAATGAGAGTAATCTCCCCTCTCCTCTCCTGCCGTCTTTCACAAAGCAGATTAGTTTCGCTGTATGTTCCAGTCTGCTGATTCAGCTCCCCCAAGCACTGCTGCCTACACCAGTTATAGGGGCAATCGTTCATCAGAGCAGCCCACTGTCACACACTAATTGGCATAAAATATCACCAATTCTAAGCTCCTCTCACAAAGAAAGAACCATCACCGCTATATCGATTTCTTTTCATCCTCTCTTTCATTAAAGAGGGCTGAGCAGTCATGTTCATGCAGTAAGGCCTCTCTGAGTTGATTTCAGTGAGTGGAGATATGATGGTAATGAATGAATATTAAAGGAATAGTTTGACATTTTAAAATATAGGCTAATTCTCTTTCTTGCTGTGACTTAAATAGGAAGATCTATACAACTCAGATAACTGTCTGTTAAAAACAAGAAAGTTAGCTAAACGGTTAGCTAGGTAACGGTAAACTGTTAGCTAGGTAACTAAATCTTTAAATCTTCACATAACCCTATAACTTGTACCCTTATCATTTCAGTTTTTCTACAAAAGATATACATGCAATTCGTGAATTTTAGAGGTGGTGGTATGTGGATTGTGTTAACTTTGGACAGGGCAAGGCTAGCTGTTTCCCTGTTTTCAAAAGAAAATGGTCATAGCTATATTTACTTTGCACAAACTACTATCATTGATTTTTTTATTTTTTCATTTCACTACAACCCTGTCACTGAGTGTCATTAATATTTCAACAAAAACTGGTGTGCCGCCAAACAACAAAATCCGGCTCAACATTTAACTGAGGCACTTTTAGCGTTACCTCTCCTATTGTTTAGCATTATGAGTCACTTAACGCCACAGTGGTTTTGTTGTTACTGAGCCTCAGACAGTGTCGGATAATAATTGTCATCAGACTGTGTGGGAGCGTAGTGATGACAGTGTCTGGACTCGGCTTGACAGGTGGAGCAGATGAGGAATGAACTCCTGCAGGAGAGGGCTAGCAGACAGGACCTGGAGTGTGACAAGATGGCTCTGGAGAGACAGGTACACACCCTCCTGTTCGCAGGAAAATAACTGCACACACTGTTTCTCTACAAACTCAGAACAAAGCAGCAACTAATTTCCTCCATTTGTGCTCATATATTCATTTGATTGTATCCATTCAATTATCATTTCTAATTCATATTTTTGTTACACCAATTTTATAGTATACAAGTGTTTTTCCTGCCAAGGTATGCGCCTCACTACCTCTCTCTTTGTGACCCCTCTAGACCAAAGACCTGAAGAGCAGAGTGGCTCATTTAGAGGGCTCTCAAAAGTCCAACAAAGAGGGCCTGGTAGCCCAGCTGGAGGATCGCATACAGGAGCTGGAGGGGAGGCTGGAGGGAGAGGAAAGGTGAGATGAAGGCTCCCGGGGGGGAATAGGGATGAGGTGCACTCTGGTCTAGGTGATGGAAGAGGAAAGCATTAGGGGGGAAGATGACTGAGAAATAGAGGTTCATTAGGTTGGGTTTGAACCTAGAACTCACTGCCTTGTTAGTAGTGAGTTCTAGGTGCCTGATTCAGAGTTTGTACTTAGACACTGAGGGATTTAGGCTTCAATATTGGACCTTTATGAAAGGGAAGTAGATCACAATTATAATGTGGATTGAGGTTTTTGAACTTTGAGGCAGGATTCTACAGGGGTTGAAAACAAATCAGTTATCAAAAGAGATCAAATAGAATAGCCTTAGTGTGTGTGACTTTGGTAAAAACTTCAGTCATACAGTAGTTTTGGGGAATTGGCTGTTTTTCATATAGTCAGAAACTAATAAATGCCATTGAAGGGGCATTTTTTCTTTAGATAGGTTAGGTGTAGTGTGAAGCAATAATAGTGTTTATGGGATCAATTAAGATTACCAGTATCCTGTTGACTTCCATGAATCGAGTGGAACCAAACAAATAACTAAGCGGGTTATGACCATGAGTCTTTCCCCAAGCTTAGTCTACAGAGAGGCCCACAGTCTCATAAACAATTAAATCATGTGCTTATTCAGAAGAAAAATCCAACTCTGGGTTTACAACCTTGTACAGAATCTGACCTGTTTTTCATTTTTTGAGATCAAAGATGGATGCAAGTAAGACTGATGTGCTGCACTAAGAGATAAGAAAGGCTTTATTGTTTATGTCCATGCTGATGTATGATGATATGTTTCAGGGAACGTGCCAACCTGCAGCTGGTGAACCGCAGGCTGGAGAGGAAAGTAAAAGAGATGATGATGCAAAGTGAAGAAGAGCAAAACACAGTGCTAGATCAAAAGGACCAGGTATGTAAAACACACCCTCCTTTAACTCAATTTACTACACATTCTTGCTGATCTTTGTTGAACCCTTTTAACCCTGTGTGTGTTGGTTCTTCTTCAAGTTAAATTTGCGTCTAAAGGCCCTGAAGCGGCAGATGGACGAGGCTGAGGAAGAGATCGATCGGCTGGAGCACAGCAAGAAGAAGCTGCAGAGAGACCTGGACGAGCAGCAGGAGTCCAATGAGCAGCTCCAGAGCCAGCTCAAATCTCTGCGGAGTGAGATCAGGTGAATGCATAAAGACAATATCTGATGTGCCCAGTTTTCATGCGTAGAAGACTGACATTATCAAATGCTTAAACAATAACACAACAAACATTGTCAGGATCCTAATTATATGTTTCTGTCTCATCCAGGCGTAAGAGCAACTCCGCTCCGCTGCTCAACACTCTGGACGATGATGACGACGATGACGACATCAGCACCGACGGAGAGACGTACTTCAGATCCTCACTGGGGTACAAGCGCTCCTCAAGTCAGGACAACATCCTGTCCACCTACACTTTATAAACAAACCCTGAGGTGGAAGATAACAGCTGCTTTACATGCATCACTGTGGGACCAAACAGCTGGAGATTTATGTGCTGTTTGCAAATGAAACTGTAAATGTTACACGGAAACATCTGTGTGATTAATTCCGGTAGAATCTCCTTGTCCATAAACTCACTCAGTATTATTTTTAGCAGCTCTGAAATTACAGGATGAAATTATACATGTTTTAATGTTTTAACATGTCCCATAGAAATTAAATGTATATACTATTACATCTAGTAATTCTACATTCCCACAATAAGCCTTGTGTACATTTTAATCTTAGTGGAATTTTATTTGTTTTACAAATGGATTAAACATGATTATCCTAGCATTAGTAAACTTGAAAACGCACTCTTTAATGCACTGTAAAACGACGCAACCAGTACTGCCTTTGTGAACAATTATGAGGTGACTAACTCTCATTTTTTATGCCTATCAAATATGTTAAATTTACATACAGTATCTGAATATTAATGTGTATATCGTTTAGGCTAATAAAATATATCTGCTTTTTTAATGAATGAAAATCAAATCTGAGTATATGAAGTGAGCAGTGCCAGGATTCTTTTATTTTTATTTATTCATGGTTGAATACACAGTGAAGGTTTTAGGGAACAGTAAATGAGGGACTTTGTACACATTGTTTTTTTATACAGTTGTCTATGGTTTGATACAAATATTAGCTCCAAAAAAATACTATATACAGGCATTTATTGTAATTGTTACATACAGTTTACTGCAAATATAAGTGACACCACAGTATTGCTTTCACATCTACTGGAAAAGCTTGCTTAATGCAATCATGTGATATTGACTTTCTTTTATCTTTTTTGTGATTATTGATTCTGAATCTAACTTTTCATCAGTTGCAGTGCTAAACGTATATCAAAACAGTTCATCTCTGAAGACATTTTTATACTGGAAACACTTTGATTCTACTTTTATCCCTGGCCATTTCTCTCCTGATTGGTGCGGTGTTGATACTGGACATGGTTTTAAGTATTTTTCTTTAACCTAATACATGTGTGTGTGTTTGAATCAAGTCACTGTGCATGTATAGCCTTGCAATGCCTTGCAAATGTCCTTCCATTTTCCTTGAAGTGAAAGAGGGAATTTCTTCAGATGAGATAAACTGACCTTTGCTGTTTTGTTACACTGTGATGATTTGCACTCTCTGTTGGCTCTGCGCCAATGTCTGACGCCTGTGGAGGGACAGTGGATTGAGACAATTTGCTGCCACTACCTCTCTGTACACACAATAGTTTGTTCATAAATCCTGCTGACACTCAAATAAAGTTACTTCCAGTTACTCTCGCATGCTTTTTTGCTTGATGAATAATTATTGGCAATTCATTTTACAATTGAAAGTTCCCCATCACACATGTTTTTAATATGTATGAAAACGTTTTAATTCATTTGTTTGGGATTTTTCCATAAAAAGTTCAAATACCTAGTTAAAAATCTGAAACAACTCCCCTCACATTTAAAATGTATTTCATATATTTATCGACTACTACACTTGCATTGATAATTATTAGTTTTGACAAGTGGTGGAGGTTTTTCTGGAGTTTGATTTGTTTCAAAGTGTCTTTAAAAGATATCAACTTGTGAATGAACGTTTTTGAGATGAGAATTTTAACCTGTTTTTCACTGAAATCTAGTAGAGTAGAAAAGCAGGTTTTGACTGAGACAATTTGATCTGTCTAGAAATCATTGTACACTGACTTCATTCATCCTCTGATAAAATCTCTGTGGGGTCAATGCAGCTGTGTCAATAGCGGCTCTTTATCTATAATTCCGTGCTCAGTAGGTCACTGTTTTTCCTGCTGGAACATATGAGGCATATGATTCCTGTGTTTGGGCCTTATCGCCTTTCACTGCAGAGTTTGACCTCCTTCAGTCTCTGGGGTAGAACAAAAAAAAAAACAGATTGCTGGTGTAGAGCTGCAGCACACAGTTGAAAGTGTTTGTATTTGTAATTGATTTAGGTCACATTGTCAAGATGGTCTTTTTAGGTTGCTCAGTGTAAAAACAACATGTATCTACTTTAATTTCTTACTTTTGGAAGATAAAACTGGGGTAGCACACTTCCCAGTCTGAGAACTTTTTACACTCTTATCTACAGTGGACTACAGCAGAACAAGGGGGAGAATAGACGGGGCTTTCTTATGCGTACTGGCTGACTGGCTATTGTTGGCAGGGCATGGCCTTCATTTGCTGCTTTTCTGTGAGGAACAAACAAATCAACCTTTTGAGTGCCACAGTATTATCTCTCTCTTTTGTGTCAAGCCAAGCAGTAAACTAATGGGGGCTGCAGGCAGGACGGCTTAAGAGAGGAAGTTGTGTATGCTTAACAAGGTGATCATTCCTGGGATTCCTTTATATGCTTGAGTGACTTCAACCAGAGTGACTGCTGAGAAATAAAGAGGTAAACAGCTGAGAGAGTCATTTCTGTGAGGGAACTGTGATACGCTTTTTCACACGGTGCTCTCTATTTCACAAATGTAAATAGGAATACACGTTTAACAAGTCTTACAGGCATCTAGAAACATCTCTGGCACTAAAGTGGAACAAAAATAAAAGCTTGTGTGTTCAAAATGTCACAGAGTCATGCTGCCCCCTAGCTGTGATAATAATACCAGGTTTTATTTATTTTTTCATCGTCACAGTCGAATTGTCGAAGGGTATTTCGGCAAAATACTTAACACCAAATTGCTTCCTATGCATGTCTACGGTATGACAAATAAAAATAATAGAGATTAGCACATTATTTGATCTGTAAACTGTGTTGGAGTTGTACATTTTCTCACTTGTCTGCAAAGTAGTGTCCACTGACTTGGGAGGCATGCCTGTTTCCGTGTCTCTTTACATTTCAACGGATATGCGCATTGAAGGAGTGGTAATGATGAAGTTAATGGTTTGTAGTGGGAGTGGAGGCTGGTTTTTATCAGCAGGCCGAGCTGTCAGACCTCTGCAGACCCAGAGGGACACAAAGGGGGAAGTCTCCCACACACACCACACGCAAATCCCAAATACTCCCACCTGCATGACGAATGGCACGCCATAAAACACTTGTGAGTGATGTTTACGATATTTGTGTCTGGTTTAGTGAATGTAGTGCATGGATACAACCGAGAGAACTTTTTTTGTAAGTTCAACGACCTTTACGTGCTGTGGTCTGACTTGTTTTTCCTCCGTCAACGTATTTTTTCGAATCTTATATTTAGATCAACAACAACATTTTCTCGAGTTTTGTGTTGAGTAATACTAGTAGGACTTATTGGGCTATGTACAATTATACCAAGGTAAACAGCCGCTTGACAAGGAATGCCTATCTGACCTAGATTCCAGTGTGTGAAAAAGGAAGCACACGTCCGATCGTCTGGGACGTATTACAATATCGGACAAGTACATCTTTCCATTGACGTGTCCGACGAAACGTTTTTCGTCCATATTTATTGACAAATTATTTATAAATTCAGCTTTAAAAAGGCAGAACTCATTCGCAAATTGTCCCTGTCCGCCATTGTTGTTTGCGACCGCTTTACGTTTCCTTCTTTGTCTCATGTGTGATTAGGGATGGGGTACCGGGGCCCGCGGCGTGACTGTGGTACCGGTAAGCTCGACGTTATCGGTGTTTTTATCGATACTGGAGACATGTAAAACATGTATGTAATATGTATTATTGCTACACGAACATTATATTGCAGTTTTAGTTTCGCCAACTCCGTTTCTAATATGTAATAAGACTACAAAATGTGCCGTCTATGCAGTGGCGTTTTCTCCTGGAGGCTGTTAGAAATTAAAATCAATGTTTTGATGGCATAATGTACCTTAAATGTACCTTCAGTTTAAATGCTGTTTTATACTGAAAAACCAGAAAATTATTGTGCACAACCAGTTAAGCTTTTATTCTGAAAATCCTTCATCTCCGGTTAGCATGTGGCTAGTTTACCATTTCTTATAGAGGTTAATTTAGTAGCGAAATGACATGGAGTGATGCACACCGAAACCTACTGATTTTAACACTGCAACTATAGAAGTATTATTATTGCTGAATATTAAATGAAGGTATAGTTTATTTGAATAAAGTTATTGTTTACAGACGTGGGTAAGATGTGACAACTTCCGGAATGACCAGAAACCAAACCAGCCGTGAAGTATTTTCTGTATTTTTTAGAATATTAACTACAACGTTTAGAATGTGTTAAAGGAAAAGTGATGAAAGACAATATGAGGAGAAGAGGCGTGTTTAAGTATGTATTGAATGTACAATGCCTGAATCCTCTGTTTAAACGTAACAACGGACATTAAGATGTGGAGGGCCGGCCCGCAGGGAGGAGCCTGCAGAAGCTATATAAGAGCAGCACCTGAGCGGTTCGGCCTCTTTTCTCTGCTAGCGAGGGCCAGAGACAGCTGCTTTTCTGTCGGACAATATCCTGTTTGTGACTTTACCACGCTTTTTATTAATTAAGTACCAATTTGAAAACATCTCAGAGACTCCATTTAGTCTCCTTTTTAAGCTTCTCTTTCCTGGACGCGAGAATAACCATCACAGTTAACAATTGGTGACCCCGACGTGATTCTCGTTGGACAGAAGAGACTACACAACCAGCTGTTTTCCGGAGACGCGGCTTCCGTTCGACACAACGAGCTCGAATACTTGGTAAGAGGAAACCTGTTAAATCAAATTCTTCATAGTTTATGCAGTACAAAATAGGTTTGTGTTGGACGGAGGCCAGCGGATCCTGAAAATAGCTGTGTATTTAATGTTAAAACAACCAAATTTATAACAATAAGAATTCCATAACACGTGGCGTTGCATTTTCACAATCAGGGTGAGTTCAAATTTCTTTTTTCATATATCTAACCCTGCATGCTATTAATTTGTGTGTGTGTAGTATTTTAAAATATAAATGTGTGTGGCCATTGTACTTTGGGTAGGTGTCTTGTTGTGTTTTCATGTAGGTGTCCCTTGTTACGTCAGTAGTTAAATTAGCCTATGACGTAAGGATATATAAGTCCATTTAACGATTATTGTTAAGATCTATGGGACATAGCGAATTGATTAAGGATCAAGTAATTGAAAACCAACAAGGCATAGCGAATCAACTTAGGGTTGAGTAACTGAAGACAGTGCTAGTCGAAAACAGTTGAGAACTGTTTTAAAAAAGTCCTTTTGAGGAAAGGCTTGATTAAGGTGTAAGCTTTTATCAGTGGTCATAACTGTTCTAGTTTCAACCAAGATATTGCGGGTGGAATACGAGATGTGGAGTTACAACAGCATTACGTTAAATTGACGACGGTCATTTAATGGTCGCTGATAAGTTACCATAATACTCCCACCTAGCGTGTCGAAATGGCAGCAGTTGACCAATAGTGGACTATAAAGTCAAATAATACGTAGATAGGTTTATAGCTTATGCGTAAGGGTTCCTAACTTTAAGTGATGATATCAATAAGATAAAGCCCATTTTTTCATAGTAAACTAGATAGAAATGTTATTTTAAACTGCAGTGTTGTTTTGTGTTCAATTTTCTTGACAAGATTACACCCCGCCATTATTTAAACTCCCCTCTGAGAGCCACGAGGTGTTTTCAAATCCCTTTGTTCTTCAGGTCAAAGGTTGGAAAATCAGTTGCCATCTTGTCTTGTCCTCATGCTGAAAATAAGCCACACGGCAGTCGCCATTTCGTGAAATGCTAATTGAAAGTACTCTGTTTGTTTTGACACATAGTCCCACTCACATGAGGCTAGGCATGAGAATGACAAATCGTATTTATTGGCAGAAGTTGGAACTATAAAATAGACAGGTTATCTTACCGTGGGAAGTTTGGTATTTGTAGGAGTCTGGTTTTGAAGATATTCTTGTTTGCAAGTGTGTATTGGCGGTTTATTTGAGATATTCTTGTTTGCAAGTGTGTATTGGCGGTTTATTTGAGATATTCTTGTTTGCAAGTGTGTTTTGGCGGTTATGTGCTGTGGTGTTTAACCATATTCCCATTTTCTTCCCATTTTTAAGGAAATAAGCTTCTTCTTGTTAAAAAGAGGTCAGTTTTGCAACAGCTATCCCTAGTGGATTAAGCTGGAAATTACAACAGCGCACTCTGCTGGTAATACAGAATTATTACAAAGATATTATAACATTTTGAAGCTTAATTTTGAGTGTTATTGATGAACACATTCGCCGGGACAGAATTACAAAGTGGTTTCTAATTAACATATGAGAAACTTTACATCATAGACTTTCAAACTAGACTGTAGAATATTCAAACACCAATTGATTAAATCTAACACAAATTATGACATT